CGAACGGCCGAGCATCCAACGGCTTTGCCAGGCCTCGTAGGCACTTCCTACAACTTTTGTTTAGTGTCCACAAGCCCTACGCCCGATACCAATCGATTTTGTAATGACCCGAAAAGTCGTCGACCCGAACTGTCGACAACCCAACAAGTCGGGACGCGGAAAAGATTAGCTTCAGATTTAAAGGAGTCCATATAAACTATTAATCAACCCCAAAAGTCCTAAGAATTCTTGGCCAAGCACTTTTTCCTCCCACTATCACTTTCATAAAGTGCGTGGACATTTGCCCCCACAGACAGTTCAAACGACAAAAAAGTCACTGAAGTGCATGGAAATACCAGTCGTTCCAGAAAGTGCGTAGACTTTTTTCGACCTTTTTTCGCGCCACACAATTCGAGTTTCCTGTTTCCTACGCGATGCGATCCGTTTCGAAACATTTTGCGCAATTCCCAGGAAGTATACGCACTTTCTGGAACGACTAGTATTTCCGGTTTCGCACCGTGCATTTTGAACCTTTTCCCAATGTCACCAACGCACAGTGCATTTTTGCGCTTTTCGCACAGTGCAAACCACAAAAAAGCCGATTGCACGGTGCGAATTGTCCAATGGAACCGCGGCGATATTTCCTGTGCCAGGTGCGAGAGAGAGTTTTTTTTGCGCACGTTGCAGACCTTTTTTGTTTATCTTTTTATCCACACGCAAAATAAAAATCCCCTGGTCACGTTTAAAACCGCTTTGCAGGCGCCAGATTTTCCGGTTGGCGCCGGCTCCGTTTTAAAGCAAATTCGAATTTTCCGAGAATTCATACCGCTCTGTAGCATTTACTTTGTAATTTTTGGATAAAAAACGTTTAATAAACATTATGTACAACAAAAAACGAAAAAATTGAACCGAAAACAATCGTATAACAATGGCATTCAAAACAATTCGGCTAAGATTTTTTTTGCAACCAAATTCGGAAAAATAATGGGCGCAATGCCGGACCAAAAATCGCTTAGAAAAGAATTGTATCGCGGCAAAATCAAATTGCTTCACTTCAGCGCCACGATCGGCGCAGCGACATTGGGCTCATTATTTCTCCGACAGAGCGGCAGCCGAAAACAATTCTGTGGAGTTTATAACTTCTACGCAAATTACATTTACATTTTACCTTACCCGCAAACATTCTTAAGAACAAAGCCAGCCCAAATTAGCACAACCCACGTCCCGATCCCCGCTGGCTTTAAACACATGCATGTGTGTGTACGAACATGAACCCGTCGATGTTTTCGACGGGATTAGAGGGCAAAGAAAGAACCCCAAGACTAATACCCAAGCAGTGATGGGCTACGATACAACCAGATCTCGTGACGTTTGCTACACAACCAACACTACTAATACGATTTATTAAGCACACGGGAAACAAAAGTTATCGGACCAGACGGCCCAATAACTTTTGTTGCTAAAGAAGTTACAATTACATAGGTGAGGAGTTCATTTCACGGTATGGTAGATGTCGAAAAGGAAGGATTTTTCCTGACTCGTAAAGTCCTCCAAGTGCCTCAGATTTTGATGGAACTTGGCGCAAGCTTAGAATAGTTTTTTCAAAGGCACATGCGAAATTCCTAGCTCGCGCTTTGCAGAAATGACCGAGATTTTTAGATTGAAAGTCGGCAAAAATATGACACTTTTTCGCGAATTTTGACATGAAAAGTTTCATACCTATTTCTACTCTATTTCCCTCTCACAACTCTCCGCGTTTTCTTTGAATATCTCAGCTGTGCCTGCAAAGCGCGAGCTAAAACTTTTGTCACGATTCCGTGAAGAATTCCCAGAAATTAGCATAAACCGACGAATATTTTGATATAAATGTAATAGACCGATCGCTTTTCGGGCATTCGTTTGGGAAATAAACCTATATTTCTAATTTGTTGGAAGTCTCCTTTACACAGTCCGGTGGTGGTCCAAGCTCGTTGGAGTTGTTGGGTGCTCACCCAAGTTCCCAGGAAATTTGAATAAACCAGGAAGAATAAATGCAACAGACAACCCCGATATCTTTTAATTCTGTCTCCGGATTTCGGTTGTTTGTGTGTGTGCCTCATCTCGTCTCAATAAACCCCATACTCTTCTTACTTTGGATTGGTGACCACCTCCTCCTTCTCCCAGCGTCTCTCGTCGTTATAAGAGTCAATTTGTGTGAGTTCGCAGGTTTTCAGCCAGAATTCTCTAGTTGTGGTCTCCAGGTTATTAGGGGTAGTTGATACTAGGCGTAGAGGGCAAGTTAGGGGCCTCATTAGACCTTGGCTATCTAAGTCTTGACACTTTCAAGAATGGATACGTCCCCAGCGCTTGGTAGCTCAGACATTCCCTCAAAAGTGGCGTCTCAAATTTTCAATTCCTATCTACTATGCAAAACCTGTGAGAAAAATTCAAAAGAAAGTCTGTTTGCCGCAATTGGAACACTCAAACTTATGACAAAGCAAAAAAAGGTTGACAAAAAATGTAAACTCCCATTTGTCGAGGCCACAGCAATTAGCAACTAAAATTGTAAAGTGTACGGACTGCAAATGTTTAGCATTTTGTAGTTACAGCACACTTGAAAGTTCATCTCGCACACAATTTATACGGTGCGGTTACACAAAAAAATCGAGTACTTTGACCTCTCTACGTGCCATTCGTATTTCGTAAAGTGCGGGGGCATTGTTTCTCTTTCGCACAGTGCGTTCTGAACGTTTTCCTATGCTTGTCGCCAATGCACAGTGCCTTCTGAACTTTTTCCCGCGCTCATCGCCAATGCACTGTGCATTCCAGAGTTTTTCCCACGCTTGTCGCCAATGCACAGCGCATTCCAAACTTTTTCCCACGTTTGTCGCCAACGCACAGTGCATTTTCCTCTTTTCGCACAGTGCTAACTCCAAAAAAGCCCTTTGCACTGTGCAAATTAGTTAATGGCGCCGTCGCAGCGACGTGGTTGAGACTGGCTTATGTCGCTGCGATATTTCAGTGCACTGTGCAAAAACAAAAAAAGTTGAAATGCCCGGTGCAAGTGTGGGTTCTTGTGTGCACGATGCGGAACTTTGCACCGTGCGTCCGGCCTATGGCTTGCACAGTGCAAAAAAAAGAAAAGAAAATGCGCTGTGAAGAAAGTCTACGCAATTTATGGAACCACTTGTACTAGTCGCGACATAAAGTCCTGAGACATTTTCACGGTGCGATTTTGTTTTTCTTTCGGACCCGTCGCGGCAATTCCCCGTTTTTGCACTAGCGACATGCACTTTCGCGCGAGCTCGCCAATTTTCTCGCGCGACACCCGCGACAAGATGTTTCAGGACTTTACGGCGCGACTAGTAATCCAGGCCAAAAAGTCCTGATAATTTGTCGCGTCTCCTGATCTCTGTCGCACTCTGAAAGAAATGATTAGCTAATGCGAAAATGAAAATCGCACGCGACAGTATGAAAGTTGACATGACCTTTTGTCACGACTAGTTCTTTGAATAAGTTTATTTCCATTTTTTCTTGCCCTTTGAACCTTTCGTCTTAATTAAAAAGCATGCGGTTAATCTTACATTAGGCTGAAAAACACGCCCAAACAAGTCTGACGCTCAGGGATATGATGAAACAAGTGACAACGTGAAGCATGGTCAATATTTGCATGATGTGCTCGACGTGTGATTCCATGATGACTTGGGGCGGTAATGGAAGACAACAAGGAAGTTCGTTGAGTTGGCAAAACAGTTTCTCCGGAAATGAGAAGGCCTTTGTGTCAAAGAAAAAGATGATTCGTTAAGATGTGCTTATGGTCTTGTGGTTGACCTTTGGGTTTGTAGCTGACAAACCGAGTTTCAAGTTTGAAAGGACACTCCCGTTTTTTAGTAAGGAAAGTACTTCTATGGAATCTACAATTGCTGAGATCGTATTTTACAAAGTACTTCTATGGAGTATGGAGCTACAGGTCTAGACATATATCAAAAAAGCGCAAAATTTTTCTGGTTCAAATTATGTAAAAATTAGCTGCCCAGTTTTGGCCTGTAAGGGCGAAAAAAACCCTTGGAACTTTTCTTGCAACACCACGCAAATGCCATTGGAACTACTATTATAAACTACTAATATTAAGGTGTAGTATGAATCAAATTTGATATTTTAAGGCTTGTCAAGACGTCAGGGTTTACTTTAGCTCCAAACAAAGCTCTTGAATTGGTAAAAACGTGATCGAAAAGGTTCCGCCGAGCCTTCGCCAAGTGTCCGCCGAGCCTGCGCCGAGCCGGCTTCACCAGGAAGTCTTCAGAATTTGCGGCCAGGCACCCTGGCCGGAAGAGATGGGAGTGTAGCAATGGCCTAACACCGTAGGAAGAGGATTTGTGGGAGTCAGGACTTTTCGGTCCCCCCACTTTCGGTCCCCGCCTTTTCGGGCCCGGCTTTTGGGATGGGAGACTTTTCGCTCCCCGTCCTTTCGGCTGGCGCCTTTTCGGTCCCTGGGCTTTTCGGGTGATGAGTAAAAAATTTTAAAATAAGATACTACTATTGACGCAATATTGTAAATAATTTAAAAAAAACTTTTTAATCCGCTTTTGGGGTGTTCGACTAAAAAAACAGATTCTTTTAGATAACCGACCGAGAAGAACATTGTGAATGTATCTGAATGATGACATGTGATTCGAGCCTGTCGGGAAAAATGAGATCCTGCCGCATCGAAAATCGTAAGCGCTGGGTGTAAGCAAGTTTCAAGCACAGTGACGGACCTGATCCAGTGGCAAAAAACGTTCCATTTTGCATCCGGGAAGTATGAAAAAGGTCCGCCATTGGACAGTTGTGGGTGTATTTTGGACACTGGCATTTCGATGATATAGATCTGCCCCTTCGGTAAGGCCTTGAACAAGATGGCAGAACCCCTTCAACTTCCGTCACAGTCCTCAGTGTAATATATATGTACATGTACGTAAATATATTCATTCTTCATTACATTCTTCTTTTAAACTTGCATCAAATGAAAAAAAAAATTAAATAGAAATGAGATGTTATAATACTCAAAAATTTCCCATCTTCGCGTAAGTCGAACCCCGTCGCATGTCCTCTTTTTTGATCTCGACTGTCTCGGAGGAGAACATAGAGGGACGTCGCGGATTGATCTGCATTCCAACCATTCTCCGGCACATCTTCCCCACCGCTCGTCGGTACGGGGTGATGAAGAAGATGATGCACAAATAATCGACAATACTGTGAATGGAGATTAGAGCTTCAACGATCAACATTGTTGCTTCGCCGTGGGCGTAACTGAAAAACAAAAGAAACGTGAAATGCTCGGTGAAAAAACTAGGTTTGTTGTGACAGTTGTGGACCTTGAAAAAAAGCCCATGCAGTTTTTGAAAATGCTAACAGAAGAATGAAAATATCACTGCTTTCTCAAAAGTGCGTTGACATTTTTCGTCTTTATGGCAAACGCACGCAAACCGCGCCGACGCACGTAACAGAAAATGTAGTGAAGTAATTTAAGCGCAAATCCCAGATTTTCTTAAAATTTTGCACACACGCCGACATAAGTATCAACTGATGAAAATCTTAGTTTGTATTTTGCAGCGGTTGCCAAGAAATTTGCATTTTCATCAAGTGCATGGACATTTATCGCGCTCCGCAGCGTGAAAAAAAAACCTCCGTCTTGCACCGTGCATTTCACATTTTCCAATTTTGCACTGTGCATCGAAATGTCGCTTCGACGTAAGCTATTTTCAACTGTGTCGCCGCTGGGTTTGCCGAAGAATTTGCAGAGTGCAAACGGTTTTTTGTCGCGGCCGCACCGTACACAACAATCCCCCATTTTTGCACCGTGCATTCACTTTTTTCTGGTTTTGCACAGTGCAGACGACCTTTTTGTGGTTTGCACGGTGCGCAAACAGAAAATGCACCGTGCGTTGGCGATAAGCGTGGGAAAGCGTTCAAAATGATCTGTGCGAAAACGAAAATATTTCTATGCACTTTACGAAAATAAATATTACTCTTTTTCAAAAGTGCGTAGACTTTTTTGGCCTTTTTTCGCACCGCACAGTACATTTTGCGCGACGCTATCCTTTTCGAGACATTTCGCCATGTGCAATTCTTTTGGCGTACCCAAAATTCGCGCCAATTTGGTTGAGAAAAGCTTGCGTCGCGGCGATAATCCACGGTGCAAACGGTCAAAATGCACCCCGCAAAAAGGGGTTTTTTGCACGGTGCGGCCAAAAAAAGTCTAGGCACTTCCTGGAAGACTACTACCCCAGTATTAAAAGACTAGGCACTTTTGAAAAGGCGTAGTCGCATAATTCTTACCCAAAAGTCAGCCCAACACAATCGAAGATCATCGGGAACAGCTCCAGCACGTAGTAATTGACAATCTGAATGGTCAGCGCGTAAAACAGCATGAACTGAAGTCGAGCGGTACGCTCGGTCAATGCCGCTCGATTGGCCTTCAATTTGTAATACAAAACGGCCAGCATCACTGTGCCGATCACCGCAATCACGACCAACATGACGGCGGCGCCGAAACTGATGAGGATGGCGATGAAACCGCTGCGGACGCAGATGAATGGATACGGCATCTCGGCCAAATACGGGAGTCGTAGGAACAGCTCTTCACGGGCTTCCACAGGGTCGGTGATTTGAATGGCTCGCAGTAGACCCATGAACGTGAGCGAGGAACATAATTGGAAGACGGCGAACGCAATGTAAGCGTGCTTTCTGCTCTCGAAGAATCGGGCGTTTCGCGAGTTCTGCGCCTGAAAATGGGCTTTTAAAAATGGGAAGTACAGGGTGGCCAGAAAAAACAGAAACTTTTTTTTCATGGGTTCTGGCGCGAAAATGTTTAGATGTAGCCGAATCATTCTTTTACCATTAAATTGTCCGTGCTCTTTTGGCCTAGTATAATACTTTGATTTCCATGTCCATATCGATTATTTAACATGGTTTTTTTGTATGTCAAACAGAAAGACCTCGATTTTGGACATTTTTTGGAGCTGTTTGAATTTTGTTAATTTGATTTATGGGGTATGGAGTTACAGACCGAGACATACATATATCAAAAAAATCGGAAATTTTTTTTGACTCAGCATATCCACAAAATTGCCCCTTTTTCAGATTGGAATTACCATTTTAATGCCTTAAAAGGTGTAGTAAAAATTCAATTTGATATTTTATGGCTTGTCAAGATTTCAGGGTGTACTTCAGCTACAAACAAAGCTCTTGAATTGAAAAAAACTTGAGCAAAAAGGCAAGGCTCCGCCGAGCCTTCGCCAAGTCTCCGCCGAGCCTCCGCCGAGCCTTCGCCGACCATCCAACGGCTTCACCAGGCCTCGTGAGCACTTCATACTATTTTTTTCGGGCATCCAACAGCCCTACGATCCGTATTGGTCGATTTGGTGATGACCCGAAAAGTCTACGCACTTTATGTAGTATTTAGCATCGCTTGCAAAATAAAAAAGCCTCATAGACCAGAATTTTTTTTTGTCCAAATTAGGTATTCTCGTCATATTTGTCACTCTTTTCTTGGAGTAGTTTCGCAAGCTACAAGTCACAGAGCGTGCTCCATAAATTAGCCGAAACAGCCGGCCAATTCTGAGCAAGCCAATTACCCTACCTCTTATAGGGCTTATTGCAAAGAACAGCCTGTCTGTGCGGGGAAATAAACCTTGGCCATAAATAAAGGTCTCGCAAAGAGCCATTATAAAAGTATAAAAGTAATCGGTAACACGACAACACAGGCCGACACGGACAGGTCCGCTAGTCTACCTTAATACGTCAACAATTGGAATTAGCCAGCAAATTAGCGAGATACAGTGGCGGACCTCATCCAGTGGCAAAAAAGTACCATTTTGCATCCGGGAAGTATCAAAAAATGTGGCAAAATACCTCGCTCTCCAAGTGAGAAAACTCCAATTTCAAAATCGCGCCCGCTATTTTTGCCGTGGGAAAGGAGCCCTTCAAAATGGAGTTTTTTTATGAGTCTTTTTTAGTTGAAGAAGGAGTCCTTTTCCTACATTTTTTGATGCATCCGGGAAGTATCGAAAATGTGGCAAAATGCTTCCCTCTCCAAGTGAAAAAAACTTCGTTTTGAAGGACGCGGCTCAAAAAGAAAGGGCGCGCATTTGAAATCGGAGTTTTTTCGCTTGGAGAGGGAGGCATTTTGCCGCATTTTTGATACTTCCCCGACGCAAATTGATACTTTTTTGCCACTCGATCAGGTCCCCCACTGTGTACATTATTTTCCCGACAGACTGATAACAAGCCCAATTTTTCAGGGCCCTCCAATCAAGTCAATTTTTTGGCCCGCCCCGGCCACCATACCCCTCGGACAAAGAGTTGATCTAAACCCCCTAACTCACATGACTCAGTCGATAAATGATCGTGCACGCCATGCTGGCCAGCACATTCACCACCCCAATGATGAACACATACAAATACACGGTGCTGTTGAAGTAGTCGGTGCTGAACACCGGCTCAAAGTGCACACAGGGCGCCGGGAAATGGAAGTGGATCTTGCTCGCCCACAACGTCGTGGTCAGCAGGAAACACCAGCCAATGTTGTTCAGCAGAAAGTACTTGTAGTGCTGAATGTGGCTGGAGTGATGCACGACCAGGTGGATGAGCAGTGGGACGATCGCAACCTCCAAAAGCATTGCCACATTCAGCGTCAACATTGCGGCGCTGTCGATGGTGGGGTTGACGGGCTCGGTTTGCGTGAAATTGTGCATTGTCATATGACTGAAGTGGTGGAAATTTTGAAAAATAAAGAAAAACAAAGTTTTTTATATTTTTAATAAGTCTGTCGGGAAAATAATGAGCGCAATGTCGCTCGCCGATCATGTCGCTGAAGTGAAAAGAAAATTGATTTTGCATCGACACAATTCATTTTCTTAGCGGCTATGCGATTTTCGATGCGAGCTCATTATTTTCCCGACGCCGCAAAATTTGCGCCCGCGTCAAACAATTTCACAATGCAAAATGGAGCTAAGGGTTCAGACTCCGCCCCTTTATTCGATCTTGAAACTAGGTCAACGGCCCGATCGAGGCGAATGCCCGATCGGTTGGCCAGTCGATGTGAGCGAGAGGTTGGAGCGAAGTGACCCTCGAATTGCATATCTAGGCCCTCCGAGAGGATGGGGCCGAGGGGCCCTCCGTGGTTTTTGGGGTTCTATTTTATGTTTATTATTGTATTTTACTTTTTGGTATGTCTACTAAAGACCTAAGTTACTAGGCGTTCCAGAAAGTGCGTGCACCTTTCGTCGCAAATTTTCCGCACTGTGCATTTGACCTTTTGCACCGTGCAATTCAAAAATCGCAGCGACATAAGCTTTTTTCAACTCTGTCGCCGCGCATTTTGGGCGCGCGACGACAATTGCACAGTGCAAAAAGAAGAAAAATGCACTGTGCGCCGCGAAAAAAAGTGCACTCGCTTTCTGGAACGACTAGTATATGTCGGAGTATGGCGATCCAGAACCGGCCACGCTGCTAAAACTATGGTCCGAAATGGCGAGCAAACTGCAAAATGCGATGTGCGGAGCGACAAAAAAGTCTACGCACATTTGAAAAATATTCACACTACTATTACGCTTTTTCAAAAGTGCAGACACATGTTCCGGCCTTTTTTGCACCGCACAGTGCAAGTTTCGTGTTCGCCGCGCGACGCGATCCTTTTCGAAAAATTTTGCACTGTGCAATTTCAAAAAATTCGCGCCGGCTCCGTTGAGAAAAGCTTGCGTCGCAGCGATATCCGGTTGCACAGTGCAAAAGATCAAAATGCACCCCGCAAAAGGGAGTTTTGTGCACGGTGCGGCCCACGACAAAATGTGTCTGCACTTTTGAAAAAGCGTAATAGCATGGAAGGAAAATCGAATACATCTAATAAAAAATTACTCTGAATTTTCGTCACGCTTTGGAAAAGATGTGCGTCGAATTTTGACAACAACCAGTTTTTCGCGGCGCCATTGCTACTAAAGGGTATGGAGTTACAGGTCGATACATATTGCACGGTTCAAAAGCTCAAATGCACACCGCAAAAAGCGAGTCTTGTTCGCACGACAAAAAAGTCTACGAACTTCATGCAACGACCAGTATTGCGGGGCTCCGCGATTTTTTTGACCAAAAAACTTGCAAAACTGTCACAATTGTCATCAGAAAAGGACAGTAGCAGGAGCCCGACCCATTTGCAAACTTGATTAGGAATGTATGTGTAGAGAGGGGAAGTGGAAGTCAATAAACAACGGACTCTTGCGGAGTATGAGTTTTCTTGGCTAATTGCGTTATGCGCGGGCATTTCTTGACACATGAGCAAGAAAAACAAAGAAAAACCACTGTTTGAGTGGAAGTGACGTCATTTTATTTTGAAAGAGCAAAAGTTCAGGAAATTTGCAAAAAAAAATTTATTATATAAAATACCACAAAAATTATAAAGATTTGTCGATTTGACACGTAGATTGCTGAACCTAGGGCGCAGCTCGCAAAAATTATATAAATTTTTTTGTAAGATATCGACTGTTCTCTGTCATTTCAACTAAAAACCCGCATTTTTTGCCAAATTGGGGACTAAAATTTTAAACCTAGGGCGCAGCTCGCAAAAATTAAAAAAATTAATTTCTGTGAAATAACAATTACTAACTGTAATTTCAACAAATGTCGGATAAAATAAGGCATTTTTCTGCTATTTCCACACAAAATTTTCAACCCTAGGGCGCAGCTCGGAAAAATTTTAAAAAATTTATTTAATTATTTTTATAAAATATCAACTTTTCTCTGTAATTTCAATCAAATAGAATGCCTTTCCCTCAATTTCAGACCTAAATTTTCAAAGTCTAGGGCGCAGCTCGGAAAAATTAAATTTAATTATTTTTATAAAATATCAACTTTTCTCTTTAATTTCAGTGAAATAGAAGGCTTTTTCGTCAATTTCCAGACTAAATTTGTCAACCTAGGGCGCAGCTCGCAAAAAATAAAAAATTTATTTTTATAAAATATCAACTTTTCTCTGTAATTTCAGTGAAATAGAATGCTTTTCGTCAATTTCAGACCCAAATTTTCAAAGTCTAGGGCGCAGCTAGCCAAAATCAAAATTTTTCAAATTCCTTTTTTTTTAAAGTTCATATACACTCTGACATTTTACCTCTATTTTCAGCTTGTTTACGCATCAACTTCACCAAAAGCCGTATGTTTTTCGCGCTAATTCCATTCGCATTGCTAATAAAATTGAAAAAAATTGAAATTTTTTGGTGTTGAGCTGTAAAAACTGTACAAAATTTGTAGTTTAGGGGGGTGTACGGTGGGTTGTTGATGTTTACAGAAGTAAATTTCATTACTTCTCACATGTTTTTAATGTCATCAAAAAAATTTTTTTTTGCAAAAAAAAATTTTTTTTCAATAATTCCAAAATTTCCAACAAATTTCATTTATTTACTGTTTATTTGTGATCCGCATCATCACACGTCAACAATAATCGCGGAAAAGCGGCGGAGAATGAAAATTAAAAATATCGAAGGCGCTTATATCTGGATGTCCCAAGGTCATGAGAAATTCGAGACGATTTTGTCGGGGCTCTCGCTTATTTGGCAATAACAATTTTAGTAATACGAAATGAGTGAATACAAAAAGGCACTTGATGGGCGAAAATAACCGTATTTCAAACAAATCAATAAAAAAATTGAAAAAAAGGTGAAAAATAGATGAAAAAATTGGAAAAAAGGTGAAAAATAGATGAAAAAATTGGGAAAATTTGTGAAAATTATTGAGAATGGACCCATGTAAAACTAGGCTAACTATTACAGTGGAATTTTTACAACTTTTTTTTCAAAAAATTTCAAAAAAAAAAAATTTTCAAAAAAAATTTTTTTTTTTCAAAAAAATTTTTTTAATAAAAAAATCGTTGCAAAAAATCCCACTGTGCCTCCAAATCACAAGATTTTTGGTGATAAGTGAAGGAAATCGGTAAAAATTTCAAAAAAATTAAAAAAAACTCGAAAAATTTGCAATTTTGTATAAAAATTTGAACAATATATTTTCCATAATAACTATTACTATTACAAACTCTAGTTAATAAAAGAGCAAGCTACAAAAGTGACGGCGAATAGATAGAAATTTACATATTACCATAGAATTGAAACTTTAGCTCGATATTCTCAGTAAGGCTGGTTATGATATGTTCTGGGGTGGTTATTTCTGTCGCTTCAGGAGCTGTTCGATTTGGCTGCGCGGCAGGGAAGTCAGGAGGTCCCGGAGCAGGTCAGTGTCGCTGAAAAAATATTATTTTAGACATCAAATTCAAAAAAATTCAAAAAAATTTTTTTCTCACAAGGCTCCTATGTGGTGTGGAGTTACAGGTCGAGATATATATCAAAAAATTCGCAAAAATTTTCTGATTCAGAATATATAAAAATTAGCTGCCTAATTTTGGTCTATCAACGAGTTTTATCAATAAATGTATTTCTCGAGGAAAAAATCTGCGGCAACAAAAGCGCGCTTGGTCTCTTCCTTCGGAAGAGAGCGGTGTGGCCGAGTGGTTAGAGCGCTAGATTGGGAATCCGAGGGGAACGGGTTCGATTCGTTTTGCCACACTAGAACCCATTTTTTACATTGGAACTACTTCTAAGGTGTAGTTGTAATCTAATTTGATATTTTAAGGCTTGTCAAGGCCTCAGAATTTATTTTAGCACAAAACAAAAATCTTTTATTGGTAAAAACACGGTCAAAAAGACACTTGCATGGTGTCGCGAGAAAACTTCTGACAAGGGAAGTCACTTTTTTCGCAGACGGACTTCGGAACGGGACCTAGTAGGTTTCAAACCTGAAGCGTCTGCAATCATACAACTGATTTCCAAAAGTGTTTACGGGGCTTCTCGGCCGAGAAAATCGACCGCAAAGTTTAGCCGAAATGAGCGAATAGCTTTCTGAAAAGAAACAGTTTATTTCATCTGCGGTGGTGGCCGAGTGGTCAGCGCGCTCGCTTTTTGCGCCAGAAGAGGCGGGTTCGATCCTCTTCGCGGTTTATTTTCTTTTTTGGTTCTTAAATATTGATTTAGTATGTAAACATAAAATGTATACACTTTTGTAATTTTTTACAGTAATTTAAACATAAATTCAAAGCTGAATGTTCATGAATATTGTAAAGTCAAAACAGGGCTAGGTTAATGAAGATATAGTTTCTAAATTCGTGTTCTATTAAAAATTGCTAATAATTAGCATATGTGATGTTAACGGCATCTCTCTATTTGATTCAATGGTCAAAAGAAATGCATCCGCAGACGACCGAAGTCGAACTCACGTCTTCTGGCGCAAAAAGCGAGCGCGCTGACCACTCGGCCACCACTGCAGATGAAATAAGCTGTTTCTTTTGAGGAGGCTATTCGCTCATTTCGGCTAAACTTTGCGGTCGATTTTCTCGGCCGAGAAGCCCCGTAAACACTTTTGGAAATCAGTTTTATCATCGCAGACGCTTCACGTTTGAAACCTACTAGGTCCCGTTCCAAAGTCCGTCTGCGAAAAAAGTGACTTCCCTTGCGAGGACAAAAACATGTCATCAGACCAAAATTAGGCAGCTAATTTTTATATATTCTGAGTCAGAAAATTTTTGCGAATTTTTTGATATATATCTCGACCTGTAACTCCACACCCCATAGAAGTACTTTCCTTGTCAAAAATCATCAAAAACCTTTTTTCGAAAAATACCAACAAAAAATCAGTATAAAAACTCTTTCTGCAGCAAAAAAAAATCAATTTAAACATCAAATTCAACAAAATTCAAAAAAAAATTTTCAAAAATCCTCAAAAATGTCATTTTTCCAAAAAATTCCAACAAAAAAACGGTCGAAAAACTCTTTCTGCAGCAGTAAAAATAATTTTTGACTTCAAATTCAACAAAATTCAAAAAAATTTTTTTTCAAAAATCTTCAAAAAACCTCATTTTTCTCCAAATTGCCACAAAAAAATCGGTCGAAAAACTCTTTTTGCAGCAAAAAAATCAATTTAGACATGAAATTCGATAAAATTCAAAAGAATTTTTTATCTCAAAAATCATCAAAAACCTAATTTTTCGAAAAATTCCAGCAAAAAATCAGTATAAAAACTCTTTCTGCAGCAAAAAAAAATAAAATTAGACTTCAAATTCAACGAAATTCAAAAAAAAAAAAAAAAAAAAAAAAAAATTCAAAAATCCTCAACCTGACAAAACCTCATTTTTCCTAAAAATTCCAACAAAAAATCGGTCGAAAAACTCTTCCTTCGGCAGCAAAAATAATTTTAGACCTCAAACTCAACAAAACTCAAAAATTTTTTTTTTTCAAAAATCCTCAAAAAACTTCATTTTCCCCAAATTTCCACCAAAAAGTCGCTCAAACCCACCTCAAAATGGCCTGTCGTGTCCTCTCCGACTTCAATCTTCGCAGTTCTCGCGCAAACTCTTCACTTTCCTCGTATTTGATCAAGTTTTCGGCATCATAATCGTATATCCTGTGGGTGCCTTCGTATTTGGGCTCTTTGACCGCTCGATTGAAGCGGATTCCCTTCTGATTCAGGTGGTTCAGGAGCCAGTTCTTGGCCTGTTCGAGGTGTCGGACCTTCAGGTCGTCGAGATCCTTGCCCAGGGCCTCCGCCACGTAGCGGCGGGCCATTCGGAAGAGGGAGAGTTGGACTTGGAGCAGGTGGAAGAAGTAATTCCGGGCGTCGCGCCACATCACTTCGTCCTGAAATCGGAAAATTAGAAAAATGAGAAAAACTTTTTCGTCCAGTAAAAATTTGTAAAAAAAAAATGAATTTTGCTGCGAGAAAAAAACTTTTTTTTGAAAATTTTGACTTTTTTGGGTGAAAATTGAAAAAAAAATGAATTTTGCTGCGAGAAAAAACTTTTTTTTTGAAAATTTTGACCTTTTTGGGTGAAAATTTGAAAAAAAAAATTAATTTTGCTGCGAGAAAAAAACTTTTTTTGAAAATTTTGACTTTTTTGGGTGAAAATTTGAAAAAAAAAATGAATTTTGCTGCGAGAAAAAAATTTTTTTTTGCAAATTTTATCTTTTTTGGGTGAAAATTTCAAAAAAAAAATAATTTTGCCAAGGGACCAAAAAAATTTATTTTGAAGATAAAATAGGACACTTTTAGAAAAAAATTGGGACATCAGGTACCCTTGAAAAAAATTTCGAAAAATGCTTTAGGGCCGGCCCTAAATTTTTTTTATTTCGGGGTTTTTTTACTTTTCTGGTCCTTCCGCGAAGTCGCCGGACCGATTTTTGCTTTTTTTTGGAAATTTTAATTTTTTTGGGTGAAAATTGAAAAATTTGGGACGTACAGCGGCGGACCTGATCCAGTAGCAAAAAACGTAGCAATTTCATCCAGGAAGTATCAAAAAATGTGGCAAAATGCCTCACCTTCCAAGTGAAAAAACTCCGTTTTGAAGGGCTCCCTCAAAAAAGGCGCGCCCTTTCCCTTACAAAAAGAGGCTCGCCTTTGAAATCGGAGTTTTTTCACTTGAAGAAGGAAGCATTTTGCCACATTTTTGATACTTCCCGGATGCAAAATGGTACGTGTTTTGCCACTGAATCAGGTCCGCCACTGTACGTCACAAATTTTTCAATGTACACCAAAAAAATTCAAAATTTTCAAAAAAAAACGGCAAAAATCGGTCCGGCGACTTTGCGGAAGGGCTAGAAAAATAAAAAAAAAAAACTCCCGAAATTAAAAAAAATTTAGGACCGGCCCTAAAGCATTTTTCGAAAATTTTTTTCAAGGGTACCTGATGTCCCAATTTTTTAAAAAAATCTCCAATTTTATCTCCAAAATACCAAAAATCAACTCTTAATTTCCCTTTACAACCTTACTTCTATCATAAAAAAAACAAAAAAAAAAAAAAAAAAATCGAAAATTTTTTTTGTACCCTTCATATCCAGAGCCTCTGAATTTCGTCAATTTTCTCCAAAAAATCCCAATCTTCCCTCAAAAACCCCCAAAAACTAAAAAAAACTAAAAAATCAACCCCCAAAAAAAAGCGTACATGTATCGCCCCAGTGGCCAACATTCTCGGTGTGGTATCATGCATATCACTAAACATAATCGCAGCCGCATGATAGGTCGGAGTCAGCAATTCCCTTCGCTTTTCCACGGCGGCCGCAGCCGCTGCTTTTTCCACTTTATCCAGGGTGGAATCCGCGGCCTTTTCCTCCAGTTCTCTTAGCAGCTGATCGTCTTTCCTCATCAACGCATACAACTGCGGTTGTCTGAACTTGATCTCCACGATTCCACTGGGTTCTAGGACGCCTCCTCTGGCGAGTGGGTCAGCCAGCATGGTGATACAAGTGGGGTTGATTTTGGTGTCCAGAACAGCCCATGCGCCGCCTCTGAGCTCGCCATACGGTGGGATATAGACAATCACGGGCTGGGTGTACTGTTGTAGGGCGTCGACGATTTGTGCGCCAAATTTTAGGACCATCTCGTACATGTCTTTCTGGCCTCCGGAGAAGCCGCGGATGTTTGCCAAGATAATCAAGGGCAAATGCTCTCTGTTAAAATCATTGATGAGGTCCGAGGTTTTGTGAGCCGAGTCCGGGTACCAGACCTGTCCGGCTTGATGTACGACGCGGGATTGTGAGTCGGCGGCGGCCGGATCCGCGGGGATTTCCAATTCAACAGTATTAGTTTCCGTGCAAACCACGCCGACGGCGAGTCCGCGGAGCCGGGCTCTTCCACACACAATAGTTCTGGCCCATCCGCCTACAGTCTCTTCAAAGGAGCCGTGGTCAAAGAGGCCGCCTTCTGGGCAGTCCAGGACCTGCCTCACATCGTAGGGGCCTTTCCTGGGGCTCGATTCCACATCCCTTTCGCCATCGTCTTGTTCAATTTGGCTTGTGAGGTAGCTCATTTGTCGGAGGACCTCTCTGACGCCCTCTAGGTCACTTTGCACGACCACATTCGACACTCCATTCTTGTACATGATCTGTGGGCCGCCCAGTTGGCCATTCGAGGTGTAAATGTGTCTGCCAAGCAGGGAATTCAACGCATTGTTTCCGGTGAGGATGAGATGGGAGTTGTCGACCTGGACGACTCTGTGGAGGAGTCTGGCGACGTATGCGCCGATTCCCACGGCTCTGCCGGTCACCAAACAATACGTGGGGATTTCTTCGTAGGCCCGCGAGGATTCGCCGGCAATCAGGCCGGAGCCGACCAAGTTTTCGACGCCGATATCGCGCTCCTTCCCGATCACATGATTAATCCTGTAATCGCCATTTCCCAGTCTCGTATATTCGAATTGGCTCAAGATTTCTGGTGTCACATCCTCCTGCTTGATATACAAGTAGCTGCAGCCTTCTTCCGGCTTCGTTTCGTCCACAAATCCCACATTGATCTTGGCTCGGACGCCCTCCGCGTATCCGATTCTGGCTCCGGAATTGGAGGCGATATAAAGTCGAGGCAATTTCTGGGCCCGACTGAACTCGCCCGCCTTCTGATACAGGCGATGCTCGGCCATGGAGAAGGAGCCGTGCTGGTGCGTGATGTCGTTCGAGATCACCACAATCTTCTTGCCCTCCGGCGAGTCGGGAGTGTGCAGCTCGAACACCCACGCGATCATGCCGCGCTCGTTCGTGCCGTTCGTGCTGCGCTCCAGCATGCGTTTGTCGTCTGGAATCAGCGATTATTTATTTAAAAAAATTTAAAAAAAAAATGAAAAAAAATTTAAAAAAATCAAAAATTAAATTTTTTTTTTGCCCAAAAATCGCAATTTGCAGTAACACCATGAATTTTCTGGTCCGAAAAAAAGACAAAGATGCAATTTTCAACTAGAATAATGTAAAAAAAACCTAGATTTTCAAAATCAAAAATTAAAAAAAAAATTTTTTTTGATTAAAAAATAAAATTTTTCTGCCAAAAATCGAAAATATTTTTCAAAAAATCGAAAATTTCATCAAAAACAAAAAAAATCGTTTCAAAATTTCAAAAAAATCATTTTTCTATTCAAAATCTTTTTTTTGTACCAAAACAAATCAAAATTTCCACAAAAAAAACTCCGCCTAAAATAAAAAAAAATCAATAAAAAATTTCGAAAAAACGCCAAAAAAATCAAAAAAATTTTCCCCAAAAAATCAAAAATTTCCCCTAAAAAATCCACTGTCTGCAATTTGAAAAATAAAGTTTAATTAAATTTTAATTATTTTAAAAAAATGCCAGAAAAATCTTTTTTTTTACAAAAAGAACAAATTTTCCTTTCAAAAAATCAAAAAAAATTTTTCCCAAAAAATCAAAAATTTCCCCTAAAAAACCCCCTGTCTACAATTTGAAAAACGAATTCAATAAAAAAAATAAAAAAAAAAAATAAATCATTTTTCGGACAAAAAATCGCATTTTTTATCTTAAAAAATCAGAAAAATTTTCGTGGAAAATTCAAAATTCAAAAAAAAAAAAAAAAAAAAAAAAAAAAGTCAAAAAATTCCCCCCACACCGCCAAAATTCTCAAATTCTCCACTCAAAACCCTAAAAAAAAACTCTGTTTATACCCACCCAACACCACAATTTCTCCCTCTTCCTCATCCAAGACAAGTTCATGGGCAATAGCGACGGGTCTGCTGTCTCCATTCTTGATGGCCATTTGCAGGTCTCCCCTCAGTTTATTGAAGACCTTTTGATAGGAGACCGGGTCCGTGACTTCATATCGTTTCCAGAGGTCGAGAACAGCTCTGGCAATGACTACGGGGAAGTCATATACATATGTGGTGTTCTGTTCTCGGGCTTGGTATCTTTTTTCCTGGACCTTGACCCTTTCGATTTCCCGATGTTTGGCGTAGGCGTCTTGGCCGGAGAACCTCGCAAATCCCTCTCTGATGCTGACCAGCTCATTTCCCACGACTCTGTAGACGCCCACATCGCTGATAGTGCCCGTTTCGTTGGAATAAATCACTCGGACCGAGCCGGGCGAGCGTTTCGTCGACGCCAGCCCACTAGTATCTTGATACACAATCTCCACTTCGGTGATTCGGTTGCGGATCAAGTACTGTTCGCACTGATGCAGGGCGCCTTCGGCCGCGCGCCAAAAGCCTTCGGTGGTGTCGAGGCGGCTGTCGTATTCCAGCGTGATCATCAGATGGTGGCAGTCAAAGTAGACGCGGTTCTTGTCCCGTTTGCTGGTCGTGTTGGCCGCCACCTGGACGCGGAGTTCGCCGCATGCGCCGTCGATCACGTCGACCAGTTTCTCTTGGAGCAGGTCGAGACGTCTGGAAAATTTGGAGGAAAATTAAGTTAAAATTCAAAAAAAAAAAAAAAAAAATTAAAATTGGGAAATCGCTTAATTTTGGGAAAAAAATTTTTAGAAAAAAAATTATTTTTTTTATTTTTTTAATTCGAAAAAAATTCAAAATTCGGAAAAAACATTTTTAAATCAAAAAATATTTCTTAAAAATCAAAACAAAATATTTAAAATTGGGGAAATCGCTTAATTTTGGGAAAAATATTTTTTTATGGGGAAAAAATTAGAAAAAAATTTAAAATTAGAAAAAAATTTTAAAAACAAAAATAAAAAAAAATGTTAATCCAAAAAAAAAATATATATTTAAAATTCAAAAAAATAAATATTTTTTAATCGAAGAAAAAATTTTTTAATTTTAAAATAATTTTTAATCAAAAAAAATCTTTAAAATTCGAAAAAAATATTTAAAAATCGAAAAAAAAATATTTTTAAATCAAAAAAATATTTAAAATTCGAAAAAAAAGATATTTTTTAATCAAAAACTTTTCTTTTAATTTTAAAAATACTTAAAATTCGGAAAATATAATTTTTAATCAAAAAAAAAAAACTTTTTTTAAATCAAAACAAATTTTTTTAAATATTTTTTCCCAAAAATCCCGAAAAAAATCAAAAATCCCACCTCTGATTCGAATACTTCTCCGGTTTGACCACTGCTTTCACGTCTCTGAGCAAGTATCTCACAAAAATCCTCGAGATTCTTCCGACATTGTGTTTGAACAGTAAGTACGGGCTATTCTCCACCGAGATGTCCACGATTTCCTCGGGTAATCGGAAAATTTCCAGCTTTTCATTGGACGAGAAGTCATAATGGGTGTAGAGAGGGGGCGAGCCGGCTCTGGAGATCATCAGGTCGACGGAGCCGTGGCTTCGGAGGCGTTCCGCTACCTCGTTGCGGAGCTCCTTCGCTCGGCGGCGGAGCTCCTTCTCCGCGTACTTCGCGAACTGCGCGTAGCCGTTCTGGCCGGTGGGCAGGGCGACGAACAGGAACGTGTTCTGGGCTTGGGGTTCGACGTTTTTCTGAAGAGAAAAAAAGTAAAATTTCAATTAGAAACAAGTAGAAATTACAATTTGACCGGTAAAGACCAATTTGCCCAAAAACCGGTCAGATTGAGTACATGAAAAATTCAAATTTTGGAATTTTGGCTTCTAAAAGACAAAAATTTTCGGCCAGCCATCATGTCCAATTTGACCGGTCATCTTGCCCAAGCTGACCGGTCAAATTGGGCAAATTGAAAACTCAAATTTTGGCTTTTAAAAAACAAAAAACTTTACCGGTCATCATGACCTATTTGACCGGTCAAATTAAATTTGCCCAACCTGACCGGGCAAATTGGGCAAATTTAAAAATCCTAATTAAAAAAATTTGGAATTTTGGCTTCAAAAAATAAAAATTTTTACCAGACATCAGGTCCAATTTGACTGGTAATCTTGCCCAATTTGACCGGTAAAACTGGGCAAATTAAAAACTCAAATTTTGGGTGTCAAAAAAAAAAAAAATTTTGACCGGTCAAGATCATGTTGCCCAATTTTCCCGGGCAGATTGGCAAAATTTTAAAAATCAAATTTCGTCTTTTCAAAAATAAAAATTTTTTTTTACCAGTCATCATGACCAATTTGCCCGGTCAAATTGGGCAAGTCTCAAAAAAAAATTTTTTCATAATAAAAATTTCAAAAAATCAAAAATTTTACCGGTCATCATGACCAATTTGCCCGGTCAACTTGGGCAAATTCAATTTGACCGTTAAAATTGGGCAAATCTCAAAAAAAATTATGAAAATAAAAATTTCAAAAAAATCAAAAATTTTTACCTTGAGGATGTTCAAAAGCTGCTCCGACTTCAACAAATCCAATTCCGGGAGCACACTCAAAAAGTAGACGGCTCTTTTGTTCGTTGCATGATGATGTTCAAAGAGCGGGGTGTCCTCGCTCAACTCAAACTTGAAGACCGCGGTGTTCTGTTTGATGTCAATTGGGATCTCCTTGATGTCCTTATCATTTATATAAAACGTATTTCGGATGAACATGCGGATGGCGTACGAGTTGGTCTGCTTGTTGCTGGTGAAGAAGAACTCGTGGAGGACGAGCTGATTCTCGCTCGCTTTGGTCATAAACTCGTCCAAAATTTTCACACTGTCCTTGTTCGGCTTGTTGATCAAGTCTTGGAGGGACTTTTCGGAGGAGCGGCGCGACACGGCCGCGTAAATCTGGCCGTAGTCGCGGTTCTGGTGGATTTTGTTCAACGTTTCGCGGATGAACAGGGCCAACGGCTCGTTCTCCTTGTTGAACAGGTTGGCGGCCTTCTTCAGTGGCTTCTGCAGGTCCATGATCATCGCGTTGTCCAGGCGGCGGATGATCTCCTTCAGCAGCTCGTTCTTGGCGCGGATTCGCGTGTGCGAATAGACCTTGCGCACCACGGCTTGAGGGTTGGATTCCTGAAAAAATCGAAAAATTTGACAGCCAAAAACTCAAAAACTCAAAAAAAAAAAAAAAAAAAAAAAAAATCAAAAAAATTTTTTTTTAATTTATTTTTTTCGAAAGACCAAAAAATCCCAAAAAATCTATTTTTTGATATTTTCCGTCCGAAAAAAAAGAAAAAAAAAAAAAAAAATTTTTTCAAACCAAAAACAACACTTTTCAACCATGTCTATGATAAATTACGGCCAAAAAAATCGACGAAAAAACATACAAATTTGAATTTTCACAATTTTTTGGTCAATAGACGGCACAAAATATCACCTTGGTCCCCCCTTACCCACTTTTTTTTACGTTTTTTGTCTCTTCTCTGTGGAGGAAGGGTCCCTGTTTTTCAAAATTATGGGCAATAGACTTCAAATACTGTATAGAAAAAAAATTCTATCCCAAATTCTTGGCAAATTTGGACCAAAAAATCTAAAAAATCGACAAAAAAAATCCAACAAAAATCGACCAAAGCCCTAAAAAACTTTTTTCAGGAAATACCGACCAAAAAAATTTTTTAAAAATCGACCAACGACCCCAAAAAAAGCTTTTTTTCACAAAATATCGACCAAAATTTCTTTTTTAAAAAACCGACCAACGACCCCAAAAAAATTTTTTCAGGAAATATCGACCAAAAAATCATAAAAAATCGACCACAGTCCTAATTTTTTCACTTTTTTTTAGGAAATATCGACCAAAAAAGATAAAAAAATATTTAAAAATCGACCAAATGCCCCCCCCCCCCAAAAAAAAATTTTTTTCAAAACTCCCCTAAATCTTCAAAATCCAAAACTTTCAACTCACAATGCTCTTGATGTTATTGACTCCCTTATCATAGGAGACTTCCTGAAAGTGGGTTTCGGTCTGATGGTATGCGTTGAGCAGCTCCTCCACGACCAATCTCTTGTGTCCCTTCAGGCCGCTGCGGAACTTGTCGCAGATGTTCAGCAGCGGGTCAAAATACTGCTGGTCGACGGCGGCGGCGCTCGGTTCCAGGGTCGCCATGTAGGATTCCATTTCCTCGGCCAGCTCCTGGGCGGGGAACTCGATGTTCTCCTTGGCGATCAGCTCCTTGATCTTGTTGTAGGTGCCGATCTTGTTGATGCGCGTCTCCACCACGTTCAGCATCACCTTGAACAGTGTGTAGGGCAGGGATTGGTCCTCGAGGATGGCGAACAGCTCGTCCACCAGCGCTTTTTTGCGCTGCTCGAACAGCGATTCGGGGACCGCGTAGCCGTCCAGCACGTCTTTGCAGGCCTGAAAAACCGATTTTTCAGCGTGTAAATCAAAATTTCTGACGTTTAAAATACATTTTGAGGTGCTCTGCATCAAATTCAACTTTCAAAAAAATACGTCATCATGACGGATTTTTTTCCAAAAAACCGTCATCATGACATTTTTCCGTCAAAATATAAAAATTTTCACTAATTTCGGCTCTAAAATATGGGAATGACTTTTTGGACATGCAAAAATAAATTTGCAAAATTCCAAAAAAACAGTCATCACGACCATTTTTTCCAAAAAATGTGTCATCATGACAATTATAAAATCAAAAAATAATTAAATTTTCGAAAATTTACTTTAGGGTAACCGAATAATTAAGGTGAAAAAATATCCGAAATTTCCAAAAAAATGCGTCATCATGACACATTTTCCAAAAAATCAATTTTTTTTCTCATACATCCAAATCAACCTTTTCCATGTCCAAAAAACTCGTCATCATGACATATTTTCCAAAAAAAAATCAAAAAAAAAATTTTTTACTTCCAAAAAACTCGTCATCATAACACATTTTCCAAAAAAAAATTTCTTTTACATCAAAATCAACCTTTTCCATGTCCAAAAAACCCGTCATCATGACACATTTCCATTTCCCGAACCCAAAAAACCCCCAAATTCCGCTCTTACCTGCATGAGTTGTTCGAATTTCACATTCAACCGAACTTTGCCGAGCTGTTTGCGTTCCTCGGCCTGGTTCCATTCGTCAAAGTCGTCTTCGAATTCCTCGGGCCGGGCGCTGGTCATGTCTCCCTGATCGTCCAGGCGGGCAATCAGCGTGCCGGGGAAGAGGGCCTGGCCGGGTCTGGCGACGTGGACCAGTCTTCCGCCCGCCTTCTTCACCTCCAAATTGATGACCATCTTCATGGACTCCATTTCAGCGTACGTTTCGCCTTTCTCCACCATCTCCCCGTCTTTGACGAGGTACTGGAGCAAGCGGCCGGCGTTTCGGGACCTCAACACCGAGGGGTCGTTTTCCTTTTCGAAGATGGTCAGCGAGCGGCCAATGTTCACCTTGTAGCGCTCGATTTCCTCCTCCAGGTGGCAGGTGTAGGACTGGTCCGAGTAGGTGACCAGCAGCGACTCGTGACCGAGTTCGCGGACCTCCGTGCAGATCTCGCTGTTGTTCAGCTTGACCAGGAAGTTGATGGGGCCGTAGCGGTTCACCAGCACCGAGTATTTCACGTTGTTGTGGACCAGTTCCAGCTCGAAGGTTTCGGTGAGCTCGGAGGTGGGGAGAATTTGGCCTCTGGAAGCAAAAATATAGGGTAAAAAATGAAAAAAATGTTAGCCATCAAGTTGAAAAATCTCAAAAAAAAATCAACTTTCCTTTCATTTTAACTACCAAAAATACACTCAAAAAATCCACAAACCACATCCAAATTTTTTGGCTCACACATTGCAAAATCCATCAACATTTTTATCCCGAAAAATCAAAAAATCTCAAAATTTTTTTTTCATTTTCTTAGCCAAAAATCTCTGGTTCAACTACACCTGATATACACAGCATTCCCACAAACAATCACCTTTATCCGTGCACAATCCACAGAGATACCCGCAAAAACAAACATTTTTCTCTGCCCGACTCTCCTCTTTTAACATGCTCTCTCGCAAAACCTCCGAATATCTCGGCTTCCGCAGGAAACTAAAAGCCATAATTTTCACCGCTTTACATGCGTGCTACACAAAATAAATGGGCAAAATTTCAGGGCAATCTGCATGTTGCTCACCGAGAAATTGTTCAAAAATTTTGAAAAAAAAATTTTCCAAAAAATTCCAAAAATTTTCCCCTCTCACCTCTCAATAGCCGACTGGAACTTGGAAAAGACCTCTGCAATCTTGGCATGTCCAATAACCGTCGCTCCGACGGCCAGGGTCACATTCACAGGGAGTTCGGGGACCGATTGGATGTTGTTTTGAATCCGAGTGTCCAGCCAGCCGGTGTGGAAGTCGTTTCGTTGGAATTCTTCGTCATTCAGCAAGTCCACCAGGTAGTTGATTTGGGAGGGGAACGTGGAGCGGACGCGCAGCTCCTTCAGGGCGCAGGTCATGGCCGCAATCGCTTCGTGACTAAAAATACGAAAGAATTGGGGAAAAAGAACAATTTTTTTACTTTTCTGGGGGATCTATGAAATTTAGCGGTCAAAAAATAACCTTACAAAAGCCTTGAGGCTTTTTAAAAACAAAAAAAGTTTAAAATTTTAAAATTTCAAAAAAAAATTTTTTTAATTTTATTGCAAAAACTCGGATAAAAACTTTCAAATACACATTTCAAAAATTTTAACCTTCCTTTTTCTTTAATTTTCCAACTTTTTTAGATCAAAATTTCAAAAAAAAAACCAAATTTTTTTCCAAAAAAAAATTTTTCAAAAAAAAAAATCAAAAATTTCCCAAAATTTTTTCAGCCCAAAAATCTTCCCAATATGCCCCAAGGCGCTCAAAACGCATCAAAAACCCTCAAAATCCCCATTCTCCTCTTCAAAACATTCATTTTAAATTTTTATTGCCACCTCCATCTAAAACAATATAAAAATCTCCCCAAAAGATCCAAAAATCCTCAAATTTCCCATTTTCCTACCGAGTGCTGCCTTTTGCGAACAAGTGTCCAAACTGCGAGTCCGCGTATTCATGGACCTTGCCGGTGGCGGACACCGAAAAGTATCCCCAGACATTTTGATTCGACTGGAACTGGAGGTTCATCACGGTGCCGGAGGCGGGTTTGAACTGGTCCGACGGGTCTTCAGACGTAATTCTTGCCGCAATCACGCAAATATTCACGTCGGTGCGGATCTGGTCGTCCGGCAGCGCGCTTTTGCCGTAGCGGTCCATGCCGAAAAACAGGCGGATTTCGTCGATGCGATGCAACGGCAGGCCCATCGCCACTTGCAGCTGGATGGCGGGGATGTTGATGTTGGAGATCATCTCGGTGCAGGGGTGCTCCACTTGCAGGCGGGGGTTCAATTCGAGGAAGTAGTACTTCTTTGTTTCGGGCAGGTACATGTACTCCACCGTGCCCGCCGATACATAGCCCACCTTTTTGGCGAGGTTCACTGCGTCCTGAAATGTAATTTTAGGCATGCTAAATTGTATAAAAGGGCTTGAAAATGTCGAAAAACACCATTTTCATCCAAAATCCGGGCATTTTGCCCTAAAAACTGCCTTTTTCTACCCAAAAATGCCATTTTCTCGATGAAAAAAGACCTTTCTTTACTCAAAAAACATTTCTCTCTCCATTAAAAACCCCGTTTTCCCAAAAAAAAAAAAAAAAAAAAAAAAAATCTAAAATTTTCCCCCCAAAAAACCCCCATTTCCTACCTGTTGCATTTGCCTCAAAACTTCTTTCGGTGCAATTCCGGCGGGTGCTTCTTCAATAATTTTCTGACATCTTCTTTGAATCGAACAATCACGGGTGAAGAATGGGACCACTTGGCCGTACTGGTCGGCGATCAGCTGGACTTCAATGTGTCGCGCGTTCATTAGGCACTTCATCAGGAAGATGGGGGAGCCGGGCACTTCGGTCTGCAAAATTTTTAGTAATTTTGGGGAAGAAAAAATTTTTTTGAGCTTGCCCGGTCAAATTGGTCATCATGCCCAATCACCCGCAGAATTTCAATCTTGACAAAAAATACCCCCGAAATTTCCCTATTTTTGATCTTTCCCGGTCAAATTCGAACTTGACCAAAATGACCGGTCAAATTAGGCAAGTTAGACATCTTGACCAATCACTAAAAAAATCCAAATCTCCACTAAAAATACCCCAAAATTTTGCATTTTTTGGTCTTGCCCGGTCAAATCCCAACTTGATCAAAATGACCGGTCAAATTGGGTAAGTTGGTCATCTTGCCCAATCACACAAAAAATTTAAATCCTGACCAAAAATACCCCAAAATTTTCCAATTTTTGATCTTGCCCGGTCAAATACCAACCTGACCAAAATGACCGGTTAAATTGGGTAAATTGACCAGCGAAGCTGGTCATCCTGCCCAATCACTTTTAAAATCCAAATCTCCACTAAAAATGCCCCAAAATTTTCCAATTTTTCATCTTGCCCGGACAAATCCCAACCTGATCAAAATAACCGGCCAAGTTAGTCATCTTGCCCAATCACTCTCAAAATCCGAACCTCGACTAAAAATATCCCCAAAATTGCCCAATTTCCCCCAACCCCCAAAAAATCCTATTCCCCCACCTGAACTCGACGGAAATTGATGCGGAATTCCTCGTCGTTGTTGCACTTGCGGATGCCCTTGCCGCCACCGCCTTCGGAGGCCTTGATCATGATGGGGTATGTGATATTCTTCTCTCTGAGGCATTTCAGGCCCTCTTCCACATTGTAGACACAGGCCTGTTTGTAGAGTTCGGAGGGGATGTTGACTGTGGCGCCTTGGGGGGCGTCTTCGGGGTCGTTGACGACGAGTCCGGAGCCGGACCACTCGATGGTGGGGATCTGAACGGTTTGCGCGATGATTGTGGAGGCGATTTTGTCGCCCAACGCGAACATCGCGTCGGCCGGCGGGCCGATGAAGACGATGTTGTGTTTGGCCAGCTCCTCCGGCAGGCGCGGGTTCTCCGAGGCGTGGCCCCAGCCCGCCCACACCGCGTCCACGTTGTTCAGGACGGCCTGGGAGATGATTTCGTCGACGTTCGCGTAGTTGTTGGTGTTGGCGCCGGCGGGCGCGATCGCAATGTGATCCGCGTATTTCAGGTACTCGGCCTGCGAATCAATCTCCTGGTCCGTGGTCATGCACACCATTTTGATGATGCGGTCGTTTTTGAAGAGGTTCATCATGCGTTTGCGGATGGACACCAGGCACTTGACGGCCGCGATTCCATTTGTGGCCACCAAAATCTGGAGAGAATCAAAAATTAGGTGCCTAAACCGGGGAAAAATCAAGTTTAACCGAAAAAAAACCAACAAGTGTCCTTTTATCTCTCTGAAATTCTCTCAAATTTGGAATGCAATTTTCTAAAGGCCATGGGAAAAATGGAAAAAATTTTAGCTTGCAATTTGCAGAAAATTTCGATATTTTTCAGCCGAAAAAGTCAAAAAATTTTTTTTTTCGATTTTCAATTTGAAAATTTCAGAAACAATCGTAGGCGAAGTGAATAATATTTCCGCTGAAAATCAATTTTTTCCGGCCAAAATTCCCAAAGTTATGGGCAAAAAAAATAAAAAACATTTTTTGTCACTCCGACTCCTCATTTTCCGTGCTCTCTCAAAAAAAATACAAAGAAAAAATTAGCTGAAATTTTCAGAAATTCATTTTTAGGCTATTTAGAGTGTTTCTGTAAAAAAATTTAAAAAAAAAATATTAAAAATTGCCAAAAATGATCAAAAAATTTTGTCCAATTCCAGTCCTACAGTGGGGGACCTGATCCATTGGCAAAAAACGTACCCTTTTGCATGCGAGAAGTATCAAAAATGTGGTAAAATGCCTCACTCTCCAAGTGAAAAACTCCGATTTCAAAGGTGCTCCCGCTCTTTTTGTGAGGGAGCCCTTCAAAACGGAGTTTTTTCACTTGAAGAGGAAGGCATTTTGCCACATTTTTTATACTTCCCGGATGCAAAACGGTACTTTTTTTGCCAATGGATCAGATCCGACACTGTGAAACCTCTAAAAATTTTTCAAATCAGCTGCAAATCCGCCGCAAATCCAATTCAAACCTCACTTTTTTGATGGGTCTGGCCTTCTCCAGGTCGAGGACCGTGTCTCTGATGTAGTCCTCGATGGTGGCGTAGGTCTGGCTCTGTTGGTCGAGTTGCGAATTCTCCGTCTTGCTGATGCGGAAGGTCTGCATTTTGGATGTTGTGGGCCCGGTCATCTCGGCAACAGGGGGAGCGACTCCTTTCAGTTGCCTGCAACGCCAAAATCACAGTTAAAAAGCCTTCAAAAATCGTCGAAAAAATCGTGGTTAGAGGGTCAAAATCTCCACTTCAAACTTCACAAAACGCAAGTCAAAATAAAATACAAATAAATTACATTGAAACAAAATACATGAACACATCAACAACATTCAAATTGAACACAAATTTTTCCAAATTTTAACTCCATTCTGCCGCAAATTTTCGATATTTTTTATCACCTCACAAAATCAACCCATTCAAAGTCCATTTAATGCGAATCACGTGATCCGAGGGGCGTCTGACGCAACTCCTCTGACCACAAACATTCTATTTTTGTGTTTGAGTCACTCCAAAAAAAAGCAGCAAATTCTTGATAAAACTTGAATAAAACAGGCTTAAACGACCAAAATTGAGCCGAATTCAGCCAAAATTCATTGTAAAATTCAATAACACTTCGGTGAACAAGCCTTTAAAGGTTTCAAAATGCAAAAATTCAGCGAAAAAAACCAAAAATTCACTCGGAATTTCGGCGTTTGCTCGTTTTTTGCGTCAAAAATTCCGCGCCAACCCGTTCGTCAAACGGGGGGCCAAACTGCAACGCCGACGACAAGGCTCGACCAGTTCTGATGCTGATACTATCTCTCGGGGGCGTCTCGAATTTGTATTGAACGTCGTCTGATTGCGCGACCATTCGATCGCGAATGCCATCCCCACAATGCGAGGGGGTTCGAGAAAAGGCAGAGAGAGAAAAAAAAGGTCAGTCATGTGAGAGATCTATGGTTTGAAGGGGGATTTCGACGTCACAATGGGCATTCCAGCAACGCTCAGCGTCCGCGAAACCCCAAAAATGGCGTGATTTTGAGAACCGCAAACGTTGAAACGACTACGACTTTGGGAGAAACGGCATTCTGAAGTTTTCGAAAAAATTTTCTCGAGCGGGCATGGCTCGGGCTATCACTCGAAAAGTACATCGAGAAAACAAAAAAATGTCTGGTTTTCTCCCAGAGAAAATCAAAATAGAATGGCATGAGTTTCATGGGATCCAAAAAAATCTTGCTAGGACATTTTCACAGAATGAAAATTTCCAAAATCAGTAAATTGGACGAGAAATTTTACTCGGGAAAACCCTAACACGACAAAAGCTGACAACTTTTTGACTTGCAGAACAATGTTTTTGCTTTTTTGGCAAATTTTTAAATTTTTAGACTCCGATTTTTCTGAAAAAGCATTTTTAAAGGTTGAAAAAACTTTTGAGGTGACAAATTACAATTGGTTAAGAAAATGTGACTTTGGATTGCGTTTCATCTCGGCAGATCGAATTTATAGCCTTTAAATCTACTAAACAGCAAGCCCAAGGGTTGGATTGACCGGTAAATCTTATAAATCTCTAGTCAAAGAGTTGAATTCGCCGCCAACTCATCTAAACGACTGGCAAAAGAGTTGGATTGGCATAAAAATCACAAACAGATGATTAGGCTCTCAATCCAGCTTTTTGGCAAGTCATTTAGATGCCTTGGCTGCAAATCCAACCCTTTGGCCAGAGATTTATAAGGTTTGCAGGCCAATCCAACCATTGGGCTAGCTGTTTAGTAGACAAAGGGTATAAATCCGACTTAATCAAAATGAAGCGCGCTCCAAAGTCACTTTTTCTTCACCCATTGTAATTTTTCACCTCAAAAGTTTTTTCAACCTTTAAAAATGCTTTTTCAGAAAAATCGAAGTCTAAAAATTTACCAAAAAAGCAAAAACATTGTTCTGCAAGTCAAAAAGTTGTCACTTTTTGTCGAGTTAGGTCCCCCATTCCTCACTGATTGCGATCTTTCCAAACGCTGCGTCAAAAAAACTGCCAAGTTTTCACTTCGACCGTTGCAAAACACGGGTTCCGAGCAAAGAGTTTGCGAAAATTTGCTGGAATTTTCCCTCAACGGAGAAAACAAAATTTTTACTGCTTGTAAAATTTAACTGCTTCTTCGGTTGAAAAGTGCCCTGTAACAAACCATAGATCGATTTCAACAAAATTCGTAGTGTGTTTCGAAGCCGAGAGCGCAGTGTTTCGAAGTAATAAAGAATCGGACAAAAACAATGTTACAATCTCGACTGTTTATGGCACCGTAAAGGAAGGATATCCCAAGGTCGAGAATTTTCCAGACAAGGTTGAAGATCAAAAAAAGAAAACGAAAGTTCAAAATCAAAAGTTGCAACTGTCAATTCAAACATTTAGAGGCAAGAAAACGAAAATTAAAGCCTTATAAACCCCAAAAAAGGATTGCTAAAAATATAAACTGCTTCAAGACCAAAGAAAATTTTATTCTCTTTCTAACTTCCTTATCAATCGCCTGAGGGCAGGAACGGACGACAGGAAGAACGGCTGCGGTCAGATAACAGATTTCTTGAAAATAAGACCAGCAAGATAAGCATTTATTCTCCTGATTCCGGGGCGGGGCTGGGGTGATATTGGACCACGGAGAGAAAAAACAACCAAATTCCATAATTTTTTGGGGACTCTTCGGGGGAAATATTCCTATTTCAGAGATCAGTGGGATGATTACTGTAAAATTTTGTTTCCTGCCGGAGGCAATTTTACCATATTTTCTTTAATTTTCAATTTTAAAAAAGATCAAGAATTGAAATTCATTAAAACCTCCTAAAAATATCCGCCAAACCACACCTAATTTTTTAGCCTTTTCAAAAACAATACCAAAATTTCAAAGAATAAAATCCATTTTCAAAAAATCCCAAGGTCTCCAAGTTTTGATTAGTTCCCCATTCTTTGCCCTAAAGGGATCGGCCCAAAGAACGGAGACAAAAAATTTTGTGCGTACAATACGTTTTAGGAAAGTCCATTTTGACTTTTTTTTTGATTCTTCTGCTCGCCGCTTTTTGCGTCTTCGTATCACACCACCAGAAAAGGGAGAAGAGAAAAGAAAAAAAGAAATGATTTGGGTCAAACAAAGAGACTAAACTCCTCGACCATTCCTATAATTGACCAATTCAGTGGGCAGAAGAGATCGAAACAGGCTCTACTATACACCCAATTGTCTAAAAAACTCTGTATAACAAACTTTTTCGACATAAAACCCCTAAAAATCGGACTTTCATGCCGAAAAGAGTTTGTTTAACGTGAAAATCATGTCTAAAATCACTGAAGAACAATGCTACAGGATGCTTTCTCTGCTCGTTGAACATACATCAATATAAAAATCGGTCAGCTCCATCTTTATGTAGCTTGAAGAAAAATTTTGTTACAACAAAAAAATTTGATTTTTTGCTTCCGCTGGATAAGAAATAACTTTAAAACACCATTTCGCAATATTTTTCAGATCCGCCAGGAATGATAAACAAAGAAAATTAGCATTCTTTCGATTCTGCATTGACGTTTTTGAATATTTCACGTTAATTGTTGTGTTCTATGCCGATTATTCGGCTAGAAAATCAAAATTCCTATGTTCAAATCCGATTGAAAAGATTCCTCAAGTGTTATGAAATCTTTACAATCGGATTTGAGCATCGGAATTTCAATTTTCTTCCAAGATTCACTCTATAAAAACTAAATTTTATTGAGTTTTTAGCTCTTGCCTAAAAATTTCAACGCTCCAATCCGACTGAAAAGATTCCATCAACATTATGGGAGCTTTTCAATCGGATTTCAGCATCGAAATTTCTAGCTCCTTCCAGTACCTGCAGTTTACAACCTTCCAAATTAACTTTCAACCCGTCGGACACCCTAAAACAATCGGGTTTAAACCGAAACGTGACCCGAATCATGACAACCCGACCTCCGTAATTACACACCCGTTGTCTCAAAGCACAAGAAGCAAAACTAAGCGCACAGTGAGCGACATGTATCAACAAAATAACCGCTTTATACCCGCCAATAATCATCACCAAAAATATTACCAGAATTGGGAGAGAATGCTCATGTTGGCGCCCATCCGAGCCGGATCCTCATTCCACGTTGTTACGTGACAAACAAACCCACTGGAACTACAATTCTCCACCCTCTCGCGCGCTGTAATCTCTACAAGTTTGTTTCTGATATGTGTATTTCGCACGTTCAACGTCATCAAATTGCCGAACAGTTGGGAAGTTTCGGAGGGGACAAAAGTGTGTTTTATATGCCCACAAAACCCAAACGAAGAACAATTACTCTTCAACAAGTTATGAGACTTGAAAACCGGAGCTTCTATTTTTATTTCTACCATCAAAAAGTTCAAAAAAATTACAAAAACCATGGCCCAACGATTCTAAAAATCTCCTCAAACCCCCAAAAAGCCATTGTTCGACAGCTTTTAGCTCATTTTCCCAATTCCCAGCGCAAAATTTGGATTCCTTCCAGATCAGCGTCCCCAATTTGGATCGCCGGCCGACTGGACCGGAAGCGGACGGTTTAAAACCAACAAAAAAAATAAAAATTTGATGCCTTGGGGTCGTTTCTCTTTCCCACCAACGATCCAAGGTCGTCGAAATTTTTGGAAGAAATCTACTTCACATAATTAATGACTTTGGAAGTCGGGAAATTTGATTTGTGATTAAAAATGGCGCGTTCTTGGCTGGAATTTTTGCAACTTCCCAATGGTATCCTATTCTAAGACGTGCAAAATGCAATCTTCCCGGGTTTTCTACACCTATATTCGCTATAGAATCAAAATTTTGATCAATTTTTTTGCCGTTTCTTTGATCAAAATTTTTGTTTCTACTTCCTTAACGCAAAAGTGCTAAACAAACTTTGGATAAACAACAAATTGAAGGCTTGCACTCGAAATGACCCGATGTAAAAATTACAAACCGCAAAGTCCATCCGGGAGAAATGAAACCGCAGAAACAATTATTGAGAAATTCGGAGGCGATCAAAGTACGATGGGCACATATTTCCACCGGATTTTGATTGGAAATCTTTCAAAAAACGAGATTTTCTATTTTTTCTGTTCGGCCCACGCCTTTCCCGCGAAGATCGTCGCATCATTTTCACCACAAATTTTCGGAAAATGATTCCAAAAATCGCTTTGAAAATCAAAAACAGTCGGATCTCGCGTCCAAATGGCCAAAAAATTTTCCGTGGACGCTTAAAATCGCCGAAAAAGCGCAAAAATTGCTCCAAGTCCCCGAACGAGAAGCCGCTATATTCCGCGGGAAAAAATTCGAGCCATCCGAAATTCTGCAATCAACTGCGAATGTCACGTTGCGCAGCCCGAAGGCGCGGAATCCTCCGGAAATCGCGCGCCTTTCTCCCCCCACAAACGACGCTTCAACGCGAAAATTGGTCGTCGACAAATTATAAAACTTCTCGCATCTGGTTTCGCCTCTCGATTTCAACTTCTACGCTCCACCACCGCCGGGAAGCGGGCGGAATCGAACCCTCGGAATTGGTATTAATTGGCGTAAAAAATATTGTCAATTATGCGGGAATGGGGGGAGGAAAACAAACAACACATGCGTTGAGCTACTTCAGACGGCATTTTGGAGGCAATTAGACCCGACGTTTAGGTGGACAAAGACGCAAAAGGAATGAGATCAAACTTGGGAAGACACAGTACAGTGGGGACCTGATCCAGTGGCAAAAAACGTACCATTTTGCATCCAGGAAGTATCAAAAATGTGATAAAATGCTTCCCTCTTCAAGTGAAAAAACTCGCGCCCTTCAAAACAAAGTTTTTTTCACTTGGAGACGGAAGCATTTTGCCACATTTTTGATGCTTCCCGGATAAAAAATGCTACGTTTTTTGCCACTGGATCAGGTCCCTCGCTGTAGGATCAAATTCCTCAAAATCAACTCAAAATCTCGGGAATTCAGCCTTTTCTTCATCAAAACTCTTCACAATTCAAAATTCGAAGCTCAAATCACGAAACTTTCAAAAGAAACTCTTCAAAAAAACAACTTCTCCGCTTTAAGTCGCGTCCGGAAAGGGCACAAATTCCGACGTGTAGTTCGACTCGCGCGAATTCTGACCTACTTTCGAGAAGCCCGTCTAGCAGACAACTCAAGAGTCTGCAACGTTTTGCCGAAGAAAAACAACTCATATTGTAAGCCACAAAGCCATTACCGACACATTAAATCCCATAACTAATCGCGATTAGGGCGAGAAAAAAAGTTCGGAAATCCCCAAAACGGCTTGCGGGGCGATTCGGAAAGAGAGCGACGCGTATCTTCGCCGTCTCCATTCCGACTTCAGGCTGGCTGGTGCGGAGCGTACCGAAGGGGAATGGCAAAAAAAGAAAAAAGGAAGGAAAGAGAAGATCCGCGCATCTCGCGGCCCTTTCACGTCGCGGCGCTTTAAACCCTTGGCGCTCATCGTTTCGCCGGCTACCGGAGTGCGCGACGACCCCGGGTGCGGCGAATTGTCGAACAATTTTTTGTAGGTCAAGATTGGGAACCGAATGCGGAGCGAACGGCGAGGCAATTTCTGCCCTTTTCGTCACTGTTCGTTGTCTTTTTTTTGTAACAATGACCTTCAAAGGAGTTAACAAAAGTTTCAATAGATTTTATCCCTCCAAAACTGTTTGTTTCGGCGAATTCTACCGTCAAACCGGCGTGTTTGTTCCGATTTTACCTTTAGATTACGCGAAAAATTTTTCCAGAGCCTGTTATGCCGGGTTAATTACAGTGAGGGACCTGATCCAGCGGCAAAAAAATTACCATTTTGCTTCCGGGAAGTATCAAAAATGTGGCAAAATGCTTCCCTCTCCAAGTGAAAAACTTCGTTTTGAAGTGCGCGCCCTTTCCCTCACAAAAAGAGAAGGCGCGCTTTTGAAGTCTTAGTTTTTTCACTTGAAGAAGGAAGCATTTTGCCACATTTTTGATACTTCCCGGATGCAAAACGGCACGTTTTTTGCCACTGGATCAGGTCCCACACTGTAAGTCCAAACCATCCCCAATAACCTACATCTCTCCTCTCAAAACTAAGCCCACCAACTTGCAACGCAGTCATAAATCAAAAATTAGAGCAATGAGCGGTCTTATCGTTGCGTGGAATCGCCGGAATTTCGTCTAGCTTTAATTTGCGAGATATTTGAGAAGGGTTTTTTGGGTGCTACCTCAAAAAAGAGATCCGTTGGAGGGCATAAGTGAAATTCCGAGGAAAAAGTACACGGAAGTGACGGATAAAACGGGTTCCGCCGCCGGCGGTTGTAACAAGTCACTGAGTCAGCTATGGCAACTGCTTTATGCCAATTGTAAATGAAAGCAACCTTATATGTTCCCTAAAACACTCAAAACAATGGAAAAATCAAGCACACGCCTCATAATCGAGGCTTTTATATCAGTTGTGAGGCGAATCTGGCCACCACGTCGATCTTTGCTAACAAACTGCCGACTCAAAGGTTTCTGAAACGTTCTTTCCTCCCAATTCTGGGTCACTTGAGAATCGTGCGATCGGGAGCACAGGGAACTGCTTATCAGTTCGGCCGTCGGTGCTTTCGCAAAACGTGGAAATGGTGTGGTATTTTTAGCCGCGACCTTAGTGGAGACTTTTCCATATGAGACTGCAACTTTAGACACTGGCATATGAAATGCCTGTTTTTTATTTTCGACAAGACTTATTTTCTACTCTAATGAGCGAAATTTTTCACCTCAAAATCCTTAGTTTCGCTTCTGTTATGAATTCCACGTGAAATACCGACTCCATCCCACATCAATAATGGGTGCAATACCGACTCCTATCCACATAAATAGTGGGCGGAGCCGAATCAAATTAAGCATGTATATTTTGGTTTCAAAGAATGTGAGGTCACTTTAAGGCTTTAAAAGCGGTCCTCAAAGTCAACCAAACCATAAACACTTCGATTACAGTGACTAGCCAACTCCGCTGGACGAAAATTTCAACAACGTGACCAAATTGGCCAACCATTTGTAACACAACCTGTGATGGAGACACAAAAAGACTACTTATTGTCAAGAGAGAGCATATTAACATTGGAAAAAGTATCCACAATTTCCAAATGCTCCTCTATTGACAATTACTAGTCTTTTTGTGTCTCCGTCACAGGTTGTGTTACAAATAGTTGCCAACTTGATCACATTGCCGAAATTTTCGTCCAACGAAGTTAGCAAGTCACGTAACCAAGGTGTTTTTGGGTTGGTTGACTTTGAGGACCCCTTTTATACCTTTGAAATGGCCTCAAATTCATTGGAACCAAAATTGACACACCCAAGCCCAAAATGTCGTAAAAAGGAAGACTTATCATCTAAAACTTACAGAGTATGCTCGAAGATGTCAACAACAACCATTTTTAGCGCTTATCAAATACTTCTCTACCTCTTAGACATTGATTTACCCATTTTTTCGCCAATTCTTATACCACAATGTGTGGTCATCCCACCTCACTAATCTGTGTATTAAAATCAGCCCAAATTCACATCGGCCTCAAGATTGCCCACACTATTTCCCTCAAATTTCTGTTTGCTCGACCTTTCGCAAGCACAACTCCAGCGGCTTAGACACAGTATTTATAACAACTGATAAGTATTTACAGCTCATCAAAACGGGAATTAAGCAGTAATCAAGGGTGCCCTCTCAAAGTCCGATAAGTTTTTCTGGCTACAGTGATAGTGGGGTGTCGATCAGCTCACAAGCACGTATTTCTAGGGAGACCTATCGTAAAACTTGCAAACTACAACAAGCTTGAGATCATAAACCTGCGAAAAAACGGGAAAAAAAATTGTTTTTCACTTACTTTCGCTTTCGAATTTTCAATCTTTTTTCGGAAACACGTTGAGGAAGGGAGAGAGTTGTCTCGCCGAACACTAATGATCAGACTGAGGACCGTCAAACACCTTTAAACGACTCATATTCCGTCAGTGTGTCCCGTTTCACAACGCAAATAACAAGATGCAGATCTCCATCGGCGATTAGGAAAAGAGTGTTCGCGAAATTCGCAAGACCAAAAAAAATGTCACCGTTGTTACGTAATCGGGCTTTTCTTGAGCGGGTTGTAAAGTGAGGGTCTCGTGCCATTTTTGGAAGAGAAAGAGAAAAATAAGTTTTACGAATGTTTTTGAGTTCGATAGATACGATCACGACACGTGATTTGAGCGGGAGCTCACAAAAACAGCAAAAAAAGCTAATTCAAGGCAAACAAGTGAAAATTTAAACCCAAAAATAGGCAAATGACAAAAAAATTTTAACATAGACAACAAATCAAGGTCTAATAAGTCTTCTAAAACCCAAATCCCACTAAAAACCATCGATAAAAGTATCAAAATCCACAATTTTCGTCCAAACCCCCTAAAAAAGGCAATTTTTTAAACTTTTTTCAAATTTCTTTGAATTTTTCCTCTTTATTCCGACTTTCTGCCATTTTTTGTTACTCCAAATTAAAATCAACATCAAATACAACCAAATCACGGCAAAAATGTCGCGGCAACATCCATCAAACAACAAAAAACCACACATATTCCACATGGGAGGTGTTCAATTCATCACTCAACATTCGTAACTTCCTTAGAGCCACGTTCGTGGTGACTAATCGGAATTCTCAAGGAGGCTCGACCATACAAAAGGCGATACAACAACTTCGGGAAACCTCATTTCCGCTCGAATCTTTTCTAATTCTTTTTTTTTCAAAAAAAAAGTCCAAAAAATTCAAATTTTTCCAATTTTTCTTACCTTACCAGTCCGATTTGGTCCACCGTGACCCACGCGACGAGATCATGTTCGATTGTGCCCTTCCTCACGCTATACCGGTCTTTTTCCGGTTGGCCATCGCCGGACATTGATGTGGATGCATTTTGAGAGCCAGAAAGTGTTTCCAAGGACAAATCCGACCTCACTGTAGGCTGCTGATGCTCTCTGGAGTCTTCTTGCACCTTCTTTGGCGCTTCATCCACCTTTTTCGTTGGGTTTTTGGCAGCCGACTTGATGTTGGACATCATGGATAAGGTGGGGTGGGTCGTTTCCGGCGTGTGCTTTCGCTTCTTTCGGTTGCGCTTTTTCCGCTTCTTTTTCGGCGCCCTCTCCTCGCTCTCCTCCTCGTCGCACTCTCGGAGCGGCGAGTTGTCATGGAGTTCGAGCATCGGGCGACGAGTGAGCAGGGACTTGGAGGGTCGGGCCAGCACGTAAAACACGCGTTCTCGGGGACTGAAACGGGAACAGTACGTGGACGTTGGACCGTGTCAGGACATTCCACACACTCTTTACGAACGTTTTTCGGACAATCTACATTATTTTAGGACATTTTAAAACATTTTCACAGTAAAAAAATATTTTTTTTCCAAAAATTTTTCAAATTTTTTTGCAAACTACGCTATCAAAAACATTTTTGACCCCCAAAAACATTTTTATTTCCAATTTCGCACCAAAAAACTTGCAAAAATTTTATTTTTCCCCCAAAGTGATCTCTGTTTTTGGCGTGCTTCCCGAATCGTCCGATTCAAAAAACGCTCCAATTCCGTCGACATGGGAACCGGCTGATCTTTGGTAAAGCGAAGAGAGACCATCGGGTTATCGTATACTTTAGCCCCAAAACTTTCAAATCGCGTTATAATGGGGTGAAATTTAAAAACCAAAATTTTTTTTTACAGATTCAAAAACTTTTGAATAACATATTTTACCCCTAAAATCTTCAAAAACCACTGTTTACACACTAAAATAAAAAAATTTACACCAAAAAATAAAAAGTTCGTATTTTACAAAAAAAAAATATTTCAATAAAATTTTTAAAAAATATGGTAATTTCCGCTTTTGCAAAGATTTTTTCGAGTTTAAAAATTCATTTGAGCAAAGGGGCGGAAAGAGTGATCTCTGGTTTAGTCGGAAATAGGTCAAAATTTAGAGAATTTCGAAGCAAAAAAGCAGGGGAAAGGAGAAATTAATCATGTACATTCCATAATGATTCATAATAAATTACTTTTACACAATATCACACAGAAACAGACGAAAAAAAGTCATCTCAAAAATCTCAAAAGACCTCAAAAGTTATCCAAAAAACCTCAAAAGTGATCCACAAACCAAACCCCAGAAATTTTTAAAAACCTCGAAAAGACTTCAAAAGTTATCCATAACGCTCAAAAAACCTCAAAAGTTATCCAAAAAATCTCACAGCTCTTCCCAAACCTCCAAACTCACAGAAAAACCCTTCAAAATCACTCAAACCCCCTCCAAATCACTCAAAACCCCCCAAAACTAACCGGTCATCATCAATTTTCACTCTGCTTGGAGCTGGAGTCACCTTCACATGGCCAAAATGGGTCTTGGCCACCTCCCACGAGCTTCGCAACACATTCTCCTCCTCTCTTTCTTTGTACAATTCGGTTCCCAAAACGTTCTCCGAGACGGCGCGATGTCTTCGCCGACCCATCGTGGGGACTGGGACGGCCAAAAAATTGGCCATAGCTGCGGATTTGAATACAAAAAAAAGTCGTTCAGATATGTCCGAGGCAAAGTTGGCTGGTTAGTAGAGTAATATTTGGCAAGATTCCGAGTCAATACATCGTACCTGGTTTCTGAAAATGATAATTTAGACATCAAAAATTTTCAGAAAATGGTGTGAAACGATAAAAAAACGTGTAATTTTCTCGCATGGATTGCCCTATTCATTTTGAACTCTTGTTTATGGCGTGTTTACAGAGCATTCTCTGAAAGTATTCGAACTAAACGACCTGAGGGAAATTTTTTGATAGGTTCTACAGTGGTGAAAAAAAAGACATAAAAGCTCAAAAGGCAGCAGAAAAAAGGCTGTATTTACAAACTTCGCAACAAATAAACACTTGGAACGCTATTATATTACACGATTTCCAAAGAAAACGCTAAAAAAATCCAGCAGCATTACAGTGTCGGATCTAATCCAGTGGCAAAAAATGTACCATTTTGCATCCGGGAAGTATTCAAAATGTGGCAAAATACCTCCCTCTCCAAGTGAAAAAACTCCGATTTCAAAAATGCCCCCTCTCTTTTTTGCGAGGGAGCCTTCAAAACCGACTTTTTTCACTTGGAAAGGGAGGTATTTTGCCACATTTTTAGTACTTCCCGGATGCAAAATGGTACATTTTTTGCCACTGGATCAGAATCGCCACTGTAATTCTTTTTTCGGAAATTTTTGGACGTTTTCCTTGGAATCGTGTAATATAATAGCGTTCCAAGTGTTTATTTGTTGCAAAGTTTGGAAATACAGCTTTTTTTTGCTACCTTTCGAGGTTTTATATCGTTTTCACCACTGTAGAACCTATCAAAAAATTTCCCTCAGCTCGTTTGGTTTGAATAAATTCAGAGAATGCTCTGTAAACATGCCATAAACAAGAGTTCAAAATGAATAGGGCAATCTATGGGAGCGAATTACACGTTTCTTTCACGTGAGAAATTTTTTGGAAATAAAAAAGAATTTGGAAAAAAAGGTGGGAAAGGCCAAAGAATGAGGAAGAAATAATGTGGCATCAATTAGATTTTAACAAAATAAAATTTTGAGATTTTTGAAGCAAAAAAAGGAAAAAAAAGATGAAAACTTTGATCAAAACTGAGGGAAATCTCTGAAAAAAAGAGCCTCATAAGGCTTCAAATTTCTTAAAACACCATAATAAAGGCATTTCAATATCAATTTCGAACAAAAACAACAAAAAAACACTAAAAATGTGGGTCAAATAAAAGCAATTTTCATTAACACAACTCATGGCAAGCTCCCCAAGAGGTTCAGCACGTGTGCCTCACGTCAAATGTAATTAGAATCTCGGCGAAAACCGAGAAAAAGAGACATTATAGAGACGAAAAAAAAGCAATCGAACAACTCGGTTCCTCTCACCCTTTGGCCATAGATCGGGCCTTATCACGAGCCCGGCAAGTGGTCTAAAACAACAATATAGGAGGTGGCCACAAGCTAAGAGTTATTTATTAAAGCTTGAGAGGCGTTCTACGTACGTCAGGGATCTTTTTTTTCCATGGACCTCATGGATAATATAATTTTTGGTCGAATTTCCAAATTTTTTGGCAATTTTTAGTCCAAAAAGAATTAAAATAGCCTTTAAAAACAATTATACATCCTCTGCTAAATGATTCTTCCGAAAAAAGTATCAAAATTTCAAAAAAAGGAAATTGCAAAAAAAATAATTTTTTTCAAATGAATTAGGTTCAAAACATTATGAAACAACCTCTAATCGAAGCCAAATTTAATTCTAAACAAATAGAATCAAAGATTTCGATGAATAACCCCCAAACGAGCCGAATAAAATACGAAAATAGGGCAAAAATCGAAGAAAAACGCGAAAATTCGGATGTAAAAGAAAGAAAACCGACTAAATTACAATATAAACCGGTAAACGCACTCGAATACAGTAGGTTTACAACGCACACCCACCACTTTATCTTCGCCAACCGAGAAAAAACTGATAAAATCAAAAATTTTCGCGAAAAGAAAAATTTGGGAAATTTGTGTTTTCGAATTTCCCGCGGATTTGGCGGCTGCCAAAAATTCTTTGGCATTCTGTTCGGATCGAGAATTTTTGGGAAAAAAGTCACGGACAACTTTTTCGACCATTCCTGAACATGCTTCTGACCTTTTTCGTTCCATAATTACTTGTTTGAGAGGAATTTTACCTCAATTTTGTTTGCAACATCAAAATTTATTTTGCACTCGGACTTTGGACCTAAAATAAGGTCGTTTTTGCCAATTTTTAGATGTTTTGTCCGTTTAGTCCGTGGTGTGTTGGTCGTGCTCTCTGTACGAAACATTTTTCTCCAGTCATTTCCCCCATTGTAGGCTGGTTCATGCTGATCTCCGAATTTTAGAAGCTTGATGTTCTTCTCACTTGCGAAATTTGCCACGCCACGACCAGATCGCCGTCCGCTTTACCGCCGAATCTTCACTAATCGCAGACTTGACCGACTACATCGATGTGAGTTGAAATTTATTCAGTTTGCTGTTTTCGTCTCGGATTTCTGACCAATATTGTTTTAGATACTGTTAGAGGAATCGTCGGGTTTATTTTGTTCAGCACATCGTTTTGTTTGGTAAACGGAGTGATCTATTATTGGTACGTGAGGCCGGTGAAGCAAGAGGAGCAGCAGTTGTTGGAACGAGAGCTAATCGAGGCAGATCTAGCCGGGTTCGACGTGCGGGCGAAGCATTAGTATAGTAAGTTCATTTTCTTTGCTTTTATTTGGCTTTTAGGTAAAATCCGAGGTTTTAAAGCTATATTTTTCTCTGATTGCTGTTCTGGCATACATTTCGTAGATAAAAACCAACTTTTTAAATCCAATTTATATTATCCGTGACGGAGGATTCATTTTTATTCCATTTTCCTCCAAATTGCCATTATTTCACTTTCAGCAGGTCATTTACAATAAAATATTTGGATCTTCATCCTATTCATCGTCCATTTTTATTCCATCCCACTCGTTTTGCGCCTCTTTTCCTCTTCAACAACTCCAAGTCTCCAGCGACATGAATGTCGCAGCGAAAGTCTTCTCCGAGGTCGGGCGAACCTTTCCTCGACTCTTTCTCTTCGGTATCTCCGCTGGCGCCGGCTTCGAGCTGTTCAAAATCTACTTCGCACCCAAAGGCATCTCCTACTACAAGGTCTTCAAAAAGAACAATCTGCACCGAGAACTGGAGAAGTATGAGAATGAGCTGAGGGCGACGGAATTGACGCTTATTGAGTTCGCCCAGTCCAAAGGGATCAAAGTGAACGATGGGGCGGAGTAGGCCAGCTAAAACTTGTTAGGTTTTTTTCGTTTTATTCCTTGTTGTACTTGGACCGAAAATAAATATTTTTGGAGAAAAAATGTCATTTTTTATTTTTCATAAAGTTGAAAACTTGATTTTCAATCAAAAACTATCTCAATTTCCTAGAATCGTACGATTTCAATATAAAATCAGGGTTTTTTCTAATATTTATTACTTATTTATATACCACATGATAAATTAAACGTTAGGCCGACGAAACTCGCCAGAGTTTCGCCGTAAAAACAATTTAATTCTTATAACATGCACTTGTATTCATAATGACACCTCTAGAATTACAATAATCTCCAAACCATTAGGTATTTACATCAATTCCGTGGAATTTCGAAGAGTGAGATCTCAAGTGGAATTTGTTCTGGCTGTTCATTTTCACCGGGCTTTACAGGTTGGCGCTTCGCATGTTTCCGTTTTCGGAGGAGCTCTTCCTTCGGGCTCCTCGATGGTCGTCCTCGCCATTCGACTCTTCCTCACCATTATTTCCTTTGGACTGATCGTCTAATCGTTTCGTGATTGGTCGGTATGGATGTCGGGAGGCTTCAGCTAAAGTTGAAATCAAAAATCATTACAATCGGGATAATACCTTTCAGTTCCAACGGGGTGCCGTCTTGTTTGGCGTTCACGCCGGGAACAAGAGCGCCGCGGGCCGCCAAACACGCCCTGAGGTATTTGTTTTCGGCACAAATCTCCGACATCTTCTGAAAATAATGTTTTTATAGGCTGATGAAGATTTTTGGAGCTGATTTTGACTTATCTTTTATTGATCACCTAAACCAAGAAAAAAAATATTAAAAATGATACCCACCTCAACATCCTTGACATGCTGTTCTTCCAGCTTCTTCAAAATACCCGAAGTGAGGTCTGCAAACTCATAGAAACGACGTTCATATTTCTTCTCACTGTTATTCTGCAAAAATTATATTAATCATGACATCTAATCTAATTTTTAAAATCACAACGAATTTAGTCATAAAACCCCGTGATAAATGAATGTAAATACCAGATAACTGAATTTACGATCTGCTACAACAAAACTACACTGATCCGTCACTCAAAATTGCTCCAGCTTACATTAATGTAGTGATCTCTGACAATTTGCACAAGATCGTCAGAACGGCTCATATCTCGAATGACCTTCCGATGCTTCTCCATAAGAAGAGTCATTCCGTGTTGTACATCCTCAAGTGTTTGTTTTAGCTGTCTATTTTCCTCTTGCAGGTTTAAAATCTCACGATTTTCATGCTGTAGAGACCGAACCAAATCTCCTCGATCTTTATTGCGAAAACATGAATTGAAAGCGCTTGTCTCGTTGTTGTACTAAAAGAAGAGACGATCAGTATAGGACACGTTATCTAAAAATCGAAAACAAAATAGAAGAGAATGAACCTACCACCTTCATCACCTCGATCTTCTCGCTGACCGCGTGAGACTGACTGAGAAGCTCATCGGCCTCTCCCAAACGTTCGTGCAGCTGATTCACATGCCTTCTGACATCTGCGAGCAGCTCATCTGCTACTTGGCCAAAATTGACGTCATTTGCGTATAAGCTCATCCTGAAAACATTATTTTAGGTATGTGACAGTGAAAAGAATCAACAATTAGCACGTAGACTAAAAACTAGGCACCATACAAAATTTAACCATCAGAAATTAGTTCAGTTTAATTTCACACAACGTTTTTGTTGCCCAAAATCGAGGAAAACAACAAAAAATCCGATAAACCTGGCCTAAAATAAGGTCAACTCAATTTTAAATCCGACAACAATTCTGAAAAAATGAATTGATCTCTAAAAAAGGTCGGGACAAGTGCAACTGACCACATTATCCATCATTATGAAAAGTTCTCGCTCACCAACTCTCGAGCTAAAAACCATGTCGGGCGCAGCTCGCGCCGACTTGCAGGCTGCGGGAACGTTGGAATTTCTCCCGCCGGCGGTAAAATTATTGTTTGAACGTGCGGTGACAAAATGTACTTTTCTGGAAGCTATCGGCGGTTTTTTTTGTCATTTTGCCTCAATTTGCCAGTGTCTGGGCGGAATTTTCCAAAATTTTATATTATTTTAGACAATTTTTGTCGCCTTTTTGATTTTAGACAGTTTTTCTTGTTGTAAATCAGCCCTTCTTATAGCGTTATAGCTGTTTTGAACCTCTGATTTACTTACTTTATCGGTTTTAGCCGACGATGGAGCAGGATTCCGGCAAGACGCCCGTCCAAGACATTCGGCTCGAATCCGACGAGGTGATGGACGATATTGTAGATAGTGTGGATGCGTTTGTTGCCGACTCCGCGAAGGATTCGCCGAACAAACGAGCGGCACTCGCCAACATGGACAATAATTCGAACTTGGAGCCGAGTTTCGGCGACGTTGCGGACACCAAATCGCTGGATGCGAGCATGGAGCCGGAATCCCTTGCAAGACAGTTGGAACTGAAAGGATTGGTGATCAAATCGCCGATGAGTGAAAGGATGAGGCCTGGAGCGCCGGTGGAAATTGCGACCCCGGCGAAGAAACGGAAATTAGCGGAGCCAACGCAGAAATCGACGGTTCCGAAGTATACTTCAAAGGTACGTGAATGTTTTACGATTTTCCCTTCGAAATTTAGGAAAGAAAGGTTGCTTGTTGATGGGGTAGCAAGATTATGAAGTAAAGTGTATTCTACAATTTATTTTGGCCTTTTTCAGCAAGAATCCATTGAGATGTGGCTCCAGTCCGTTCGAAATGCTGCTGACTCCAGCGACAGCTCAAATAGTGTAAGATTTTGGTATTATCTTTTGATTTTAGGGGTTTTATATCAACTGCAAGGAAGAATCTTCCTGTCTCTTTAATTCTTTGACAAAGACTACAAGATTTTGCCAGTTCATGAATAGATTTACCTTGTTTTAGGTAAATATTTTCCCAAAAATGCAGCTCTCGGATTCAAACCCATCTAATGGCTCAAACACACCTAACCCCACTTCCCCTTGCAACCCGGAGACTGGCACGTCTGCGAAGGCAGCAAATACGAGTAGTTCAACTATGAAAGCAGCAAGCTCAACAACTTCAACTCCCAGAGGCCAATCGGTGATTCAGTTGAACGTACCGTACTTGGAACGCCGTGTCACTGAACTGGAACAAGATTGTGCGTGTCTTCGGAAGGAGAAGGACAGCCTGATCAGAGAGAATTTGGAGCACAAGCTGAAGAGAGGTGAATACAAGATAAAGATGAGGGAAATGCTCATTGACAAGGCGAGAAAGGAGCGGGCTGAGGCTCGATTGCAAACCCAGAAGAACATGCTCCGGCTGGGCTCGTTCTATTTGGCCCGGAATGGCGAGAAATTCGAGGACAAATGGAAAAGCGGAACCGCGTTCGAAGAGAATCTAAAGAAAATGGTTGACTTGGGTGAAGAAAGGGACTTGGTAAATTCTCAATTGGAACAGTTGAAGAAGAGAAAAGCCGTGAGGAGGACAAGGAAGTAAGGATTTTGCGGTTTATGGCTTGAATTTTTAGATTTTTTATTTTTTTTTTTTTGTCATGAATAATATCAAAAAATTGTGATAGAAACCCCTCAAAAATGTTGAATTTTCTCCTAATCTTTGTCATTTCCAGATCCGTGGACCCAGCTGCAGACCAAAACGATGAAAATTTCGCGCGGCCGGACGATCCATCAGATGCAATTGCGCAAGAACTGTATGAACAGGAGGAAATTGTGAGGATACGAAGGGATGCGGTCAAAAAAGAAGAAGCCGACCTGATTTTGGAGAGGGAAATGTTGGAAAGGGAGAGGAATTTACACATTCGAGAGTACAAACGGATCCAGTACGAGGACCAGAGCAATTACAAGAACTATATGTGCTTCTCGGAGAAGTATCTGCTGCTCACATTGTTGGGCAAGGGAGGGTTTAGGTGAGCTGGTTTGATTTTGTAATATAAAATCAAGTAGTCATGGTATAAAATAATATAAAATTACCTAATTATAAAGCTAATCTCTGGATGAAATTCGTTCCCACAGCTCATAACTGTTCTAAAATACACATTCCTTGCAATAAAATGCATCCGTCACCCATAGCCTTCAAGAAAAATAACATTTTATATTATACTAGGTAAGCTACGGTGACGGACCTGATCCAGTGGCTAAAAACGTAGCATTTTGCATCCGGAAAGTAGCAAAAAGTGTGGCAAAATGCATCCCTGTCCAAGTGAAAAAAACTCCGATTTTAAAAGTGCCTCCTCTCTTTTTTGCGAGGGCAATTCAAAACGGAGTTTTTTCACTTGGAGAGGGAGACATTTTGCCACATTTTTTGATACTTCCCGGATGTAAAATGGTACGTTTTTTGCCACTGGATCAGGTCCGTCATTGTAGCTTACCTAGTATAATATAAAATGTTATTTTTCTTGAAGGCTATGGGTGATGGATGTATTTTATTGCAAGGAATATGTATTTTAGAGCAGTTGTGAGCTGTGGGAACGAATTTCATGCAGAGGTTAGGTTTATAATTAGTTAATTTTATATTATTTTATATTATCCATGATGACTAATGAAATCTCCCCCGAAATAACACTTATTTTTAGTGAAGTTTGGCAGGCTTACGACCTGGATGATAACCGATATGTGGCCGTCAAAATCCATCAGGTTTGCAAGGAATGGAAGGAAGAGAAGAAGGCAAATTATGTGAAGCATGCGATGCGAGAGAAGAACATACACATTTCATTGCACCACCCCCGAATAGTCCAACTTTTTGACGTCTTTCATATTGACAACCACACGTTCTGCACGGTCCTCGAGTATTGTGGAGGAAATGATCTGGATGTCTACCTGAAACAAAACAAACAAATCCCGGAAAAAGAGGCCCGGTGTATTATAATGCAGGTAGGTTAATATCGGTTTTTCTAGATGAATTTTTGATTCAAAATTTATTGGAATGCTCGTTTCAGGTGGTGAGTGCTCTCAGGTACTTGGCCTCACATGATCCCCCGATAATACATTACGATTTGAAGCCAGCGAACATTCTCCTGGAAGATGGAACGGCTTCGGGCGCCGTGAAAATTACCGACTTTGGACTGTCAAAAATGGTCGATAGTTCGGATGATGGTGATAGTATTGAACTAACGTCTCAAGGAGCAGGAACTTACTGGTGAGTTTTTGGTTTTTGAAATTTTTATTTTTGCAGGGTCATGGATAATATAAAAAGTTGAAAGATTCGTATGAAAATGAGGTTGATTTGAAGGGAAAGGAGCTTTACATTAAAGTTATAGGAGATTCTTGCTGAAATTTGAAGAATATATAAGATTTTTAGCTGTCTTTTTTATCATGGATAATATAAAAATTTTTGATTCTTTAAAAAATTTAGTGATTTTTGGCATGATATTTATCTAGAGTGATGAATCGTGAAATTTCAGGTATCTTCCACCCGAAACCTTTCAACGATTTGGCCATACGGCGCCCCGAATCTCTAATAAAGTTGATGTTTGGTCGGTTGGGATCATCTTTTTCCAATGTTTGTATGGCCAACGACCCTTTGGCCACGATCAATCTCAACAACAGCTTCTCAACGAAAGAGTCATCCTGAACGCACGCGATGTCAGGTTCCCCCCAAGCCCCAAAATCAGCGCCGGAGCGCAGGAGTTTATCCGCTCATGTCTCCGATACGAAAAGGATCTCAGGCCGGATGTGAGGATGATTGCCAACCACTCCTACCTCAAACCCCGCCCACCCCCCTCTCGCGCCGTCAGTTAGCCAGGAAACCCCGTGATTTTGTCTTTTATTTTAAAGCTTTACATATTAATTATTATTTTTTGAAGTTTTAGTCCTGAATTTAATAAAATTCGAGAATATATGTAAATAAAAGTGATGATTGATCCTTATTTATACGTTTATTACGTCATACTGAAGACTTCATAAGATTTTTACATGATTGCTAGCTTTGGAAAATGAAATCGAGAGTTCGTGGAATGTGTTGCTAGATATTATTATTGACTTTGATTCGATTTTTGGACTGTTTTTTTCCTCTTATTTTCCGGCCCCTGAGAAGGTGGGCGTGTACTGGCATTGGCTGTAATCCACCGGCGAGATCATGTTGAAGGCCTTGGTCATTACGTTGATGTAGTCTGGAAAGAAAATTTTGTAGGTTAGAGGACTCTGATATTGTTTTATAAGGAAGATACTTCTATGGGGATGGAGTTACAGGCCGAGACGTATATCAAAAAGTCGCAAATTTTTTTCTGATTCAGAATATGTGAAAATTAGCTGCCTAATTTTGGTTTGTGAGGGTGAAAAAATCCTCGGAACTTTTCTCATATATGTTGTGTTGCGAGAAAAGTTCTGAAGATTTTTTCACCCTTACAAACCAAAATTAGGCAGCTAACTTTTGCATATTATGAAACAGAAAAGTTTTGCGAATTTTTTGATATATGTCTTGACCTGTAACTCCATACCCCATAGAAGCACTTTCCTTGTTAGATTCGGGAGTTTAGATAGCTTGAAATTTGAAAAAAATGTTGACAAAACTCACTGTTGTCTTCAAGGAATTGAAGAACGGGCTTCATGTGATCCCTCTGGAAGCGCTCTGGATCACGCGCAATGACGAAGACTGGGAAACGGACCCAGTTCGAGACCACCGCGTAGTCGTATTGCTTGTATTCGTTGAGTGGTCCGAGCTTGATCACCCAGACTGAAAAGAAGTAAAATTAGAATTCGAGGCCTTTCAATTGATTTTTAAGTGGTTTGAGAGCCAAAAAATATAAGAATAATGAAAAAATAGAGCTAAAACAAGGTGAAAATCCCGGGTTTGGTTATAAAAATGACTTACAAGGCTCGGAATCGGGGGAGTTGCTGCTGTGAAGCAAGAATTGGCCAGTGTCTCCGGCCTTGAATCCATATCCAAGCGAGAATCTTGGTGGGCCGTTGGGATTTCCTTCCCTGTAGAACTTCAAGATGGTGAAGGTCGCACTGTAGGTGTTGTTGGTCAGAGCGCCAACTGAAAATTAGTTTTTTATCGAGTTTTCGGTAAATTTGCAAAGAAAAAGGAGGGTTGCAAAGGCTATAACCTCCTAAGACTTCATTTTTTGACAGTCTCGGACACGATCATGTTGCAGAAAACTCATCCAAATGCATCTTTGGAACAATAAAACGCATCCTAGGAAGCACTAGGATGCGTTTTATTGATCGAAGATGCATTTGGATGCGATTTCTGCCACATGATCCTGTCCGAGACTGTATCACCGCCACTTACAATGTGACACGGTGCAGGCTTCTCGGATCACATGAGGTGAAGTGATGACCTGGAACCAACGTCCCATCATCCTAGCCACATCGACGTTCTCAGCAGCTGGATGAACCGCTCTGAAGACGTTCTTGGCCAAGTTTTTGGTGGTGTCCTTTGGCAAAAGTCGACTGATCGAAGATCCCAACAAAGTATTGGTTGGGGGAATCATTTGAGGGATTAGTTGACCGACCTGAAAGGTAAAATACGTCGTTGTAAAAAGTACAGGCTCGATTTTCTGTTTGCGTAAAGAGTTTTGCTAGATTAACTAGTTAGGAAGGCCAATAACTTACCAAATAGTTGAAATTCCGTAGGCCGGGGATAGTGTTGACGCCGGGAACGGTTGGGTTGTCGCTTTCTCCGGGAAATCCGGGGACTGGAATGGGCGCAAGGCCAGGGATTTGACCAGAAGTCAGTCCTTGAAGATCCACTCGGTCTTGTCCCGCCGTCTCAACAATCGAGTTCAGATCGTCGGACTGATACAGAGACGAAGGAAGTGGAGGCTCTCGTCTCCTCACTTCCCTCTCATCCCCACCCCAGCTGATTCCCATCCGTTCCATGACATTGTTGGCAAAGGTTGAGACTTTTTCCAACGACTCTTTTGGAGCTAATGGATCAGTGCCGAACGAGTCAAAACTGGGCCCATTGAACTGCGACTTTGGATGCTCGGCCTGACGTCTGTATCGGAAGCTGAGTGTGGCGTCACAAAATGTGACCCCCACAAGGAGGAGGGCAAGCCAGGTGCGGCTTGACATACCTGAAGCATAGGACAGTAAATTTTTGGTCACAATGACATTTGCGCGGCTTTAATATCAAATTATGCCGAAAAATTAGGGTGGGTTTTGTGGGTTTGGTAGTCGAAAACGATAGGAGATCGATCTGTCGGGAAAATAATGTGGATTCGTCGCACCTTGAAATCATCTCGACTGCGACGGCTATCTGTGTCTGAAGAGTTGCGGGATATTTTTCTGCGACCAATCCCCATTATTTTCCCGACAAATACCCCTTACAAAACGACCCCGCAACATTCCTCAAACCCTGCACTTTGAAGATCCCCCCAGTAATTGCATTACGGCTAACTCCCGTAGACCGAAAAAATCTCGCATAGGCGGCGAAAAATGCCAGCGCAGGTAGGAGATCTGAGTATTTTATCCGCCTTCAACCCAAATCCCACGCCATCCGCGAACCGTGCCCGCCCCGAAAACACTTTTCCCTATCAAATCCACTCGTTTTTTCGGGCGGGCGGTGAAAGTCAGAACGCGCAAGATAACCAGGTCAGTGGATCAGCGAAAAAAAAAACAGCGAAGAAGATCCGTCGAGAAATTATGGGATCTTCTGACCCATCGGCGGGGATGACACAAATCAGGAAAAGCCGAAGGGCGAGAAAAGTAAAAGCTTTCGGAAGGGATTTTATAAGGAAAGGAATAAAAAGGGTTAAATAAGTGTCGTAAATTTTAGATTTGGGTTCTCTAAACGTTGTGTGAACTTTACAAGGCACTTTAATGTTGCGGTCTGTTCAACAATGCCCGAAAATCGGCAACATGTCGCCAGATTTGGTGAATTTTCGACCATAAAGGCGTATTTTGAGTCTAATACTGGCTAGTTTGTAAAGTCGCTGGAGTGATTTCGACGACATGCACTGCGCAAGAAAGGTCATGGTGCTAGCAACAGCTCAAAAAAGCTTATCGCACAGTGAAAGGAAAAACCTTTTTTCTCATATGGCATGTCGGCGAAATCACTCCAGCAACTTTACGAGCGGACTAGTATTATGCCCAAAATAGGTCCTTTTGGTCGAAAATTCATTGAATCTGCCGATAGTATTGCCGTTTTCCGGCATTTTCGGACAGACCGCTATATTAAAGTTCCTTGTAAAGTTCATAGAACCTTTAGAAAGCACAAATCTCAAATTTACGACATTGTAACCTCTTTATTCTATGTAATTTTTGACCCAAAATAAGCCCTTATGGCCAAAAATCCAGCGAATCTGCCACAAAAATCTCGTCATCGTATTCGACCAAAATTTCGCAAAACAAAATTCTCGAAAAGAACCCATTTGCCAGTTCGATTTCCATCTCTTCCGCACAACCGCCGCAGGCATTCGCAAACAATGGGAGGCGCTCAACCGGTGGCGACGCGCCGAGTTCGTTTCTGGATTTCGCCCGAATTTCCATTTTTTTGTAATCGCGTCGAGATGAATCAGGTGCGATCTGATGTGACGGTGCTTATGAATTCGGTGTATTTGCATTGCGCCGGTTGCGAAATGAGTGCGCGGGAATAAATGACGGATGAAATGACACGTGAGCAGCGAGTTAGGGAACTGAAAATTGGAGGACTTTCAATGGCAAGAAGTCATTGTTCCAAAAATTGCTGTGAGATAGTGGAGCAGCGATATTGGAAATAATAAAGTCGTTTTGTAAGAAGCTTTTTACATGCTATGCCGGTTTATAAGCATGTTTTAAAAGATATGATCAAATGGCCCTGAAAATATTCTAAAGACCGGTCAAAGGCTCGTTATGATGAGAAAGTGAAAGGTGCGCAAAAAACAAAGGTCGCGTATTTTAACAACCATGAGCTTTTCGAACACAGCATAAACCTTTTTCCAATGGCCAACAAAGAAATTGCCACGCGCAATTTCTTTTTTTCGTGTCCCCACTTTTCGGGTCGACGTCCGTTCGGGTCCACCCTGACATACGAATCCTCTCCGGATTACGACTCTTTGTCGGTATTTGCAAGGTGTGGGTCCAGAGGTCACCGATGAAAGCCCATACGATTGGGAGGGTCAGTTTGTGAACAGCCAAAGCCTCGAAATGGATTCGGAATAGAAATTTGGAGAGATAAATCCCTGAAGAAGTTTTGGGAGCCTTTGAGCCAGAACTGTCAAAAAAGTAAGAGGTTGATGCAATATGTATTTATTGCGAAACTCGTTTACACCATGAACGTTTCAAATCTCAATTTACAAGGATGGGAAGGTGACTGGGAGAGGGGCTCCAGTTCCGAATTCGAAGCTCTCCAATTTGGCAATGATCTCCAAGAGCTTGGCGATCAATTCAGCGAGGGGGTTTTCGGAAGGAAGGGTAATTCCGAAGGGAATATCTCTCTTGGCACGGCCACCCTCTTCCGAAGGGACGGTCACTTCCTCAGGGTTGATGGTGGGCAGGTGCAGACATTCCAAGATCTGGTTCAGGATGTCGAGCAACACATCGAAAGTGGGCTCAGCGGTGACTGGCTCGAAGGCATCTCTCTTGACACGGCCAGCATCAGAAGGGATGGTTACGGCTTCGGGGTTGACGGTGGGGAGGTTCAGAGATTCGAGGATCTTGTTCAGAAGCTCGATGATTACGACCAATGGAGATGGTGGAAGGCCAGTGACTCCAGAGAAGAGGTCTCTCTTCACTCGGTCTCCTTCAACTCCCAATTCGGGGAAGGTAACGGCCTCGGGATCGACGGTTGGAAGGTGGAGATCCTCCAGAATTTGGTTGAGAATTTGAACCAAAGCCTCCAAGAGTGGCTCTTGTGGCTCCGGCAAAGTTACAGGTAAAACTTTTGGAAGGGATGGGATGTCCGGTAGAGTTACAGGTGAAAGTTTGGGAAGGGATGGGACGCTTGGGAAGCCTTGAGCCATGGAGAAGGCCAAGACGCAGAGGACCACAACACACTTCATTTTGGGGTTTCGCTGCTTTCGAATGGATTCGAAAGTATTGATGAGAAAAGGTTGGCTGGTGATGGCTTATATACAATTTTTAAGTAAAAGTACATCAATCAAAGAGCTTAGGTGACGTCAACTTCCGCCGTGTAAACACTCTTCTTCGTCGGTGTTTACAAATGGATGAAACAACCAATCCCACTGTCACAGTTAGAGTCAAAGGATTTGAATAATACTGTGATCAAAATTTTGAAACTGAACCCTTTAATAATATGGAATATCGTTTTGACGAAAATAGCTCGGCGTATCACCAATACAATCAGATTAACTGTTTTGTTATATAAGCCATCGCCCACCAACCTTTTATCAATATTTCGAATCCATTCGAAAACAGCGAAACCCCCAAAATGAAGTGTGTTGTGGTCCTCTGCGTCTTGGCCTTCTCCATGGCCCAAGGCTTTCCAAGCATCCCATCTCTTCCACAACTTTCACCTGTAACTCTACCGGACATCCCATCCCTTCCAAATGTTCTACCTGTAACTTTGCCGGAGCCACAAGAGCCACTTTTGGAGGCTTTGGTTCAAATTCTCAACCAAATTCTGGAGGATCTCCACCTTCCAACCGTCGATCCCGAGGCCGTTACCTTCCCCGAATTGGGAGTCGAGGGAGATCGAGTCAAGAGAGATATCTTCTCTGGAGTCACTGGCCTTCCACCATCTCCATTGGTCGTAATCATCGAGCTTCTGAACAAGATCCTCGAATCTCTGAACCTCCCCACCGTCAACCCCGAAGCCGTCACCATCCCTTCTGATGCAGGCCGTGTCAAGAGAGATGCCTTCGAGCCAGTCACCGCTGAGCCCACTTTCGACGTGTTGCTCGACATCCTGAACCAGATTTTGGAATGTCTGCACCTGCCCACCATCAACCCTGAGGAAGTGACCGTCCCTTCGGAAGAGGGCGGCCGTGCCAAGAGAGATATTCCCTTCGGAATCACCCTTCCTTCCGAAAACCCCCTCGCTGAATTGATCGCCAAGCTCTTGGAGATCATTGCCAAATTGGAGAGCTTCGAATTCGGAACTGGAGCCCCTCTCCCAGTCACCTTCCCATCATTGTAAATTGAGATTTGAAACGTTCATGGTGTAACCGAGTTTCGCAATAAATACATATTGCATCGACGTCGTTTTCTTTTTCAATTTTCTTACAAAAATATGGGTTTGCAACTCTCATTGAAAGCGATGAAATGGCACGTCAAGAAAAGATAGATAAATCGCGGTCATGCCATTTTTTCTGTCCGATAAAACGGTTTCTTCACTTTTCGAGTTGCGCCCAAGGTAATTGGAAACAGTAAGCTATGCAACTTGGTCTCGAACAATTCAGATGGTTTTTGGAGGTCTTCGAAGCTACCTCTTGCTTTAGGTGGGTAGTGTAATTTAGGTGGCGATGAAACCCTTATTTTTAGCAACAACTAGAAACACAGCCTTGGAATGCACCACAGGTTCTATTTCCTATCACTAGTTTAAACAAGGAACCAGAAAATTAAGTTAAGCCAAGAAATTATACCATTTTAGGCAACAAGTGTAAGATGAGCAAATAAAAGCAGATTTTGTCATGAATCACGAAGGCCTTGGGGTTTCATGCACCTAGAACAGGCTACCAATGCATTACAGTCAAGCCTCTAATCATAAATCCACTTTTTTTGGCTTCTGTATATTTTATTACCTAAAATTGGAAAAACGTAAAGCAACTTACTCTTCGAACTTTGTGCCAAGTCATATTAAAAGTGGAGCTTTTTACTTGGTTCGGAATGAAATTTTCTACTCGTTACGTGAAGATGAAGACAGAGAAACGTTGTACGTCAAGATTTTTCGACCATCTAATTTTCTCTCCACGCGAAGATTGACATTCCTTTTCCTCTTATCAGAGAGTCCAAAAAATCCGTTTGAGTGACCGTTTTTATATACGAGATCAAGACAAAAGGTCAAATATTGCGTAAACTGTTAAATCCATATTTTTGAAAGAAAGCTGATAAAGAAAACGAGGTCGATGCAATATGTATTTATTGCGAAACTGGGTTACACCATGAACGTTTCAAATCTCAATTTACAATGATGG